CCGTCTTGCCGATAGCAGTTCCAGATCAATTAGATCAATTAGTTCCGGTACAAGCCACACCATCAGTTGGATGTTATGAAGAGATGATTACAAGCGGAAGTAAACAGAGTTCCAGCGACGTCCAGCAACGTCCTTCTTCACCAAAAAGTTTGAAGTTCCAAAATCGAGAACCGATATACCTGGATGGTCCTTCTGCAGGCAAAACAGAATGCACATGACACATCTCAGGTAAAGTTTGACAAAAAAATCATTGTACATTTTATTGATTACAATTAACATCGTAGGGTGTTCGCCTCGGTGTTTGCACTGGATCACCATGTGCCCTTGTCGATCTCGATTCACATTACGAATCGTTTACAAAAGCCGAAGCGGAAGCCGGAAGACGAAGGATTGAAATCGAAGATGAAAGACAAAGGGTAGTTTCATTCGAGCGACCTTCGAGAAATTTCATCAGCCCATTTGCGCGGAACAGGTCGTTGGATGCATCAAACAAATATAAGGTTAAATTAAATTGACAAACCATCGACATACGATTAATTACTATTGATGTTGTAGGGTGTTCTCACAGGACCGTCGCGAAAATTTATCGGTCTCAGTCAAAATCACGGTTCATTCACTGAAGCCGGAGGACGAAGAGTTGATGCGGAAGCTTTGCAGCAGTCACGTGATAACATCGGCCTCGATTCAAGGTACGCACCCTTCGCTGAGTTCAATAAAAAGAGCCAAATGACTGGACTGTCACGTGATCATATCGGTCATGATCAACGATACAGAATGTATGCTCAATCGGGCAGACAGAGGGAGCTAGCCGAAATGTCGCAGTATTTCTTTAGCTCGGATCCGATGAACAGATTGCTCGTTGAGCTTCATAGACAAGAAGTAGCCATTGAAACGCTACGTGATTTCATCGGTGCCGATTTGAGGAATCGGCCAACGACTGCACCCGATAGGCAGCGGGAGTTCCAAGAAACTTCGCGTACCTTCATCGGTTCCCATTCGCGGAACAAGGCGTTTGTTGAATCCAGCATGCAGGCAATGGATAGGTGACTCGTGAACTAACTTCAGCCAGCGGGATCTATCGAACAGAACGTTCACGCAACCCGAAGGACTAAGAGGCACTGAAACACGGCATAATTTCAACCGAGATTTCAACGGTAGAAGACCTGCAAGAGGGCCACTATACCATGGCCCCGGACTCTCCCACCCGGTTGAGTCGGTCTGGGGTCCATGCGACCATCGACATCTTCGTAAGCAACATGGGACACAACATCTCGCAACCTGTGGCATTCCAGGAGCTGAGCTCGGACCACTACCCGGTGGTGGCTGAAGTTGGATCCTCGGTATACCGATTCGAAGCTTCCCGGCGCAACTACCATCGAGTCAACTGGGCGCAATATCAACACTGCGTCGACACAACCATCGACTACGATGTCCAACCGGGGACGTCCGAAGATGTTGACCGATGTCTACAATCCATCGAGGAGGCGATCTCCCGGGCCAGGGAACAACACGTGCCAGTATCCAGACAGGTGAGTAACTCTCTGAACCTTGACAGCCCTACCAAAGATTTCATTAGACTCCGTAACGCCATTCGTAGGCAGTACCAGCGTACTGGCCTGCCTAACTTGAAGACCAATTGTAATCGATTAACAAAGATCATTCAGGCCAGGATGGTGGATCTCAGAAATAACGATTTTGCTAGTAAGATCCGCTCTCTCCCAGATTGTGTTAAGCCCTTCTGGAAACTTAAAAAAATTCTTAAAAACAAGCCTAGGCCCATTCCACCACTGACCCCACTGGATCGTCCCGGCGACCCAGTGGTTCATCTGATAACTCCTGAAGAGAAGGCTGCCGTGATAGGTCAACACTTCGTCAGCTCCCATAATCTCGGACAAAACATCGTCAGCCCTCATGAATCTGAGGTTGCTGAAAATGCAACCAATGTTCTTCCAATTCCTAACATTTTTCCAGAGGAATCCGAGATTACGGCTGACGAACGTTGGCCTATATAAAATCATCTAAAAACATGAAGGCCCCAGGTTTCGACAACATCCTGAATCTGGAACTCAAACACTTGAGTTCCAGATTCTACAACCATCTACTTCCCCTCGTGTTGGAAGTCAGCTAAAGTCATACCCATCCGGAAACCTGGGAAGGATCCGTCCTCTCCTTCAAGTTATCGACCAATCAGCCTTCTCTCAGGGTTATCAAAACTGTTCGAAAGAGCAGTGTACCACCGGCTCCTAACATCTGCCGATGAAAACAACTTGTTACTCGAGGAACAGTTTGGTTTTCGGAAAGGTCGTTCAACCGTCCACCAGCTGACTCGAGTAACAAACATTCTCAGACGGAACAAGTCTGTTTCGAAAACATCTGCCATGGCGTTTTTGGACGTTGAAAAATCGTTCGACAATGTCTGGCATGATGGCCTGGTGTTCAAATTGCAGCAGTATGGTCTTCCAATCTTCCTAGTGAAAATAATAAACAACTATCTATCAGACAGGACGTTCCGAGTCTCTCTGAATGGCATCACATCGGATGCTTTCAACATCGGTGCCGGGGTTCCACAAGGAAGCATCCTATTCAACCTGTTCACCTCCGATATGCCGGCTCTCCCTGATGGTGGATCTTTGTCTCTGTTCGCAGATGACACATCCATCGTTTACAAGGGTAGGGTCATCGGAGCTCTGACTGCCAAACTTCAGAGAGGCCTGGACGTTCTGTCTGAATATTTCAACAGCTGGAAGATCCGTATCAACGCGGCAAAGACCCACCCTAAATCTCCTAGACTTGTTCCGTCGGAGAATAACAAGATCTGCCTGAACGGCACAGTGGTGGAATGGTCCAAAGAGGTCGTGTACCTCGGGCTAACACTAGACAGCAAGCTTATTTTCAGAGAGCACGTTGACAAAACGAAAACCAAGTGCAACATCTTGATAAGATCGTTGTATCCACTTATCAACAGGAAGTCAACCCTGTCCCTGAAAAATAAGCTTACTCTCTACAAACAAATCATCCTTCCTGTAATCGAGTACGGTATGCCAATCTGGGAGATTTGCGCAAAATTCCATCACCTTAAACTCCAAAGGATCCAGAACAAGATCCTTAGGATGGTCCTAAACAGTTCCCCGCGGTCTAGAAATTTTGAGATCCACCTCCTGGCTGGAATTCAGACATTAGAAGAACGAAGAGTATTCATCCTGGAAAGGTTCAGAGACACCTGTCTGAGATCAAACCATCAGATCATACGTGATCTAGCACGTTAGGTTAAGTTATACTCGTAGTTAGGTAGGTTATCACTTTTTTCAATTCAAATAAAACACATTCCCAAAGGGGTATTCTGTAAACTAGTTGAAAAACGCAAATATTAAATTAGAATATCAAATTAAACAAAGATGAAGAGCCAGATAGGCTAATTAATTAATATGATAAATCAATGTGCTACCATAATCAACAGAAATAAACATAATTTTACTACTACTAGTCTACTAAAACACATCCAGGCTGCTATGTCTTATAGTGCAAGGTGCCGTGTTGTCCTGAAAGCAGCCAATTAATCATCTCTGAAAGATACCGTCTTCGAAGTCAATTAAAAACTATCTTTCTAGCAGTGCAAAAAAAAAAGTGTTGACAAAATTTGTAGCTGGGAAAATAGCAAACTATTTCGTGTGTGACGATGGGCTAGGACGAAGAAATGAAAAAGTTCATTTTCTCCATAGTAATTCCCATATAAACTTCAAAGGGCCAATTCAGTACGAATTGATATCCAAATGAGCTCACATTTTAGTCATGAGAACCTGATTTGGAATCGATTGATTGGGGTGGATATATTTTGAACCTCCCTTATATACAGGTTCCATTGTGTTTTCGATGCAGTCTTGCTCTTTTCAGAAGAAGCCTAATTAAATTGTAAGGGCTCTACTCGAAGAGCCTGTATCAATCAAAATAGTTCTCCTTATTGACAAAAAACAAGCGATGACACAATGATAAGATTTTTCATGAACTGTTCCTCATGCAGCTGTGTGGCACTCACTCTCTCAGCATGCCACTCAAGAAAATCTGTGAGTCGCAGAAAATTGGCGAACGTAGTTTTTCCCGAAGAGCGTTCTGCGAGAGTGAGCGAGTGGCATCAACGATGGTTCAGGCATAAATTCAAACTGCAACTGCTAAAAGTCTCAGCCTCAGCTTCCGTCTCATGGTCACTCACCAATTGTAGAGCGGCGCGTGTTATGCTACTCTCTTCGCTTTCAAATACTTGCTGATGGATTAAGAACGTTGGTCGCCATGTGACACGGCAGCAAGAACCTTTTCAAGCTGCACCGCGTGATTACAACTGTTTGTGTGAAGGTTCGAAGAATTCTACTGAAATCGGCGGGAATTCACTCAGATTCTTTTTTTTTGGTAGTCATTTATTCTCTTTTCTCACTTGATCGAACAACTTCTAAGATTGCTCGCTTTAACATGCGCCGGCATCAATTTGTTTCGAATATTATTTTTATTTATTTGCTGTGTTTTGGTTGTTGTAGCTGTTCGCCTGAATTTAGTCTAAATAACCTGTCACTTTTAATCTGCGAAGTAGTCCTGTGTGTGAAATGTGTTAAGTGAGTTAAGAAAATCCCTTACATTTGTCTGCTGTTATGCTCTATGTGAGTTTCGAATAGAAAAGAAGACACGTTTACATTTTTTTTTGTCGTTTTGAGTTTTGCTTTTTGTCGTGTTTTATACTCTTGATGACCACACTACCTTTTAGGCTCATGCAATGTTTTTTTTTTTCATTTTTTTTTAAACATTAAAATTAGAGGTTAATAAAAGTCTAAAGCATAACAACCAGTCATTAAAATAAGTTAACGCGAAATACGTATGAAGAGAGCATTCGAGAGCGATACACGGTGGGTGACAGTTTTGTTTTGTTGTTGTGGTAAGATCAATATCAACAGAGAAACAGTTTGATCAGACTTCAGGTTAGTGACAGAATGCAAAAATAGGGAAGCGCCTTCTCGTTTTGTTTTTATTTTGCTCGAGATTGGAAAAGATTTTGTGTGCGGATCAGGTTGGGAGGAAGGGAAGCTTTTTCAATAAATAGTTCAGTTGTAATTCCGTCCGATGATATGTAATTGCCACATTTGGTTTGTGTCGATTTTCGCGTCCTTTGGTTTCTTCGGGTCTGTATATCTCCTATAATTCATCGAGTAACAACAGTAAATGGGAGCGCGAGCCAATTGAACTTAAAACATACTTGAAAGGTAAACAATGGAACAGCGTCTCTCTGTTCCGACACAGCGGGAGATCTCACGACTACAGCGATTTAGCTAAGTTTGTTACGCCAATTTTGACAAAATAAAACCACAGATAATTACAATAGAAAAATATCACACATGCAAATTGACTAGTATATGTATGTATACATTGATGGGGGGTGGGGGTTCCGGATTCATACATAAAATAATACCCTTGTGTCTATTTACTAGACAGTTGACTTTGTTGACGATGGCTAACGAAACAACTTGTTTAAATCTCTAATGCGTGTGTGTGTGTGAGTGAGTGTCTGCTTAAAAATTAATTGTCGCGCGATACCATTCAATTGCAGCAATATCGATTCCAATTACATTTTTTTTCTTGAGTTTCGTTAAAGGGGAATAAGTGAAAAATAATAACTATATACGTACATTACTGCAGATTATTAGGTACCAATTTTTGTCTGTGAGTGTAGGCGTTTGCTCAACAACTCATCTGCTCTAAATACAATCAGGACTAGAACGTTTCTCTCCATATCCTAGATGTGTTTTTTAGCCTTCATAGATTTTGACTATACAGGTTTGTTCTTTAGGTTAATATTTAGTAATATCTTAAAATCTCTCTTCTACTGCAGTTGCTTTGGTTTAGAAAGAATCTTAGTGAGGAATCCTCTACTGTTTACGGTTTTGTTGAATTTCATTTTAAAGTGTTACTATACTTTCCTGACGCGTGCGCTTCTTGTTGAAGTACAGTTTGAGAATTTGGTTGAAAAGGATACCGAATAAGACAGAAAGGAATGTCAACTGATTAAACAAAAGGGAATTTTCTACCAGCACTGATGGCAGAATATGCAATTTGTGACATTCAATACCATCAATAAAATATGGCCGCGTCTGCCATATTTTCGCTCATAAAAAGTGGAATGGGGCAGGAAGAATACAAGGAAATCAGTAGAAATTCAAACCAGGAATGTCTAAACTACGTCTACCTACACTAATTGCTTCCTCATGACAGATTGAAAGGAAAATTTTCCAACCACCCCTCAGAAGCAACGATTGCGCTCCGAAATGTTGCCAATTGTGCTTCCAATTCGGTACTTACTTGGCTTCCTTTCCTAAATTCTTCACCTACTTAACTTAAAAATTCACTATATACCAAACCACCACAGAGCGTGGCACTAACGACGATGACGACGACAACGACGAAGACGATGAGGCTGGCCGCACCGATTGGCACTGCGATGCTCCTCCTCAATCCAGCTTCCAACTAATCGAAGCGTGCTTCTTCCGGTATCGGTTCGCATTTTTGGCAATCAGGAAATCCTCCGTCGGAAAGTCCAACATCGTGGTACAGTGAAAGCCCATATTAGCCGACGCCACGATGTACTCGCACAGGGCAAACCAACTGAAGGCTGTCACACAAGAAAACCATGGTTATTTATTTGAAAACAAATTATTGTCAACACGTTACCCAAATCGTGGCACAGGAAGCGATGCTTCAGGAAAAACAAGATCAACCCAACAGTGGAGGCGATCGAGAGGGCAAAGAAGGCCTTCTTGTATCGGAGGGAGGTTTCCTCCTCGGCCGTCTGCGGCCCGTTCGGATGGAGGACTTTCAGCAGCTTTAGCGTCGCCAGCATGTACGACAGCGATGCGACCATAAACACAATGAAAACCTTTTCGTGGATGGCTGTTGGTAAGGGAAAATGTTTGTTGATTGAGGGGGAAAATGAGAGAAAGTTGAAGTCATGGGAACAATACTTACGGTAATTTTCCTTATTGGAAACATAGGTAACGCAGCATAGGGCGCTGATTTCCACGATGTTCAAACAGTGGACTATCTTGAGCAGGTAATTCGCCTTTTTCATATTCTGTAGGGAATATAGAAAAAAAAATCGTGTGCATTTATTAACGTTCTTTCAATTGAATAACCCACAGTTTAAAACATATTGATTCAGCGTGTAACAGAGCTATTATTTAAGTCCAGAACCTGTTCGAGATCTCAAGTTTTGTTTTCTTGGTCTACAACTTTTGTGAATAATTAAAATCTGTATCTCTTAAGCGAACCCCACACGTATCAATATATTGACGCGGAGAGGAACTATTGACAATTATATTGATGATGTGAATACAGAATTATTGTCAATACAATACGATTATTGTCAATAAAAACAATCGTGTAGGGTCCACTTAATGCATGACGAACTAGCGCGGGCAGAACTTGTTATTGTTTTCCAGTGAATGTAATTTACATTCCCAAAAAAAAACAGTGATGGATTATGTTCGCATCATTCGGTTCATCACAAGGGGTAATCAACTCTGCACACTATGCCGAAACTCAGCATGGCACCCTTTTCGGAACGTACGGCACACGTTGACAAGTATGACACAAACGATATTATATAAAACGGCAGCACTGTCGAGTTTTGCCACTCGTACTCATTACTATGGTTACTGCTTTGTTTACTTCAGATACTGAAAACAAAATTGAAATAAATCTATGGACAGTTGATTTCCGATCCCGCCCCTGGCGAACCATTATCCAGACCGAATCATCTCGGAGTCTTCTGCAGGACATCGTCTAACTTTACCTAAAACGCTGCAGGTTCTATTGCAGGAAAAATACAGCATAATATTCAAGACGTTTGGCGGACGGACACGGATTGGGGAAACATGATTCCTATTGAGATGGCTACGCACTGGATGGATTATACTAAGCCACGAATAAATTCGTATTCTCCCGATTCTTTCCCGCCGGCTCTTCTCGTCTAGCATCACAAATGTTTCCAAGTAGGACATCAGAATATGCAGCAAGAGATCGCAAAATACACCACCTTTCCCGTCGTTTTTTCATTGTGCGCTGTATGAAACTGCGGAACTCGGGCACCACACACGGGACGCTACGTATTATGTTGTATACTTATCCAAACAATTGTTCCCATATATTGGGAGTGGGAGTTTCTCCAGATCAGATCCAACCAAATTTGAAGGATGATGAAACCGAAACAATTATATCCAATGTTCAACAAAAATATCCACCGGTTTGAATTCCCGTGGAACTAACGCCTTCACGTCCTTCTTAAGTCCTTTTTCAGCTGCTTTGTGAACTTCCTCCTTCACAATCCCCAAGCAACGCTTTTCGGTTCATTAGCTACAAGACAGACGCATCGTTCACGGTCCAAAATCGGAGACAAAAAACATTGTTTTAATTGAATTCGTAGTTCTAAAAGAAAAAAATAATTACATCAGCATTAAATAAAATAAAATAATTGGAGTTTCGACTACGAAGTCTGGCGAGTTCAACCTAGTTAACTGCCCAACGTTTTGTTTGTGTTTTGGCAGTCTTCCTCGGAGGAAATTAATTCTACCGTAGTTAAATTTCTCCCTATGAAAGCTACCAAAATTTTCTGAGTATTTTTCCACCGAGAAACCGCTGTGAACATAAACAAGCACAAAAGTCATTATGAATTCAGGGTTGCCAAACTCATTGGATATTGCCGCCTTGATTGACAGATTTCGGCTCATTCGGCACAGCGTAGGCACAGCTAAATCATTCGGCACAGATCAAGGTGTGCAGCGTTGAATACCCCTTGGTTCATCATGCATAAGAGATGCAAAAAAGTTGTATTGTAATATTAAAACCTACAAAAGCTTCATGCATCATTTAACGCCATTGTGTTGATGAACACACACAACAGACACAACCGTATATTTAGCGTAGGATTACGTGCTCGGTATTAATATTCGGTGAGTGTGTTAGGGAAACCACTTTTTGCAGGCATCACCATTTCAACAGTTGGATATTTGTGAAATTTTCAATAGTGACCTATTGAAAATTGATAAAGTGTTCATTTTAGCAGATTTGTAGAAAAATTTCCAATCGGTTGGCTTGTTTAGAAATTAAATCCATCTGCTGTTGACAGATTTACCTCTATGGTTATAAGTGGTAACGTAACGCGGTCGATTTTGGTTTTTTGAAATTGCACCCCCAATATGTTGCCAAAAGACGCTGAGTCTTACTGGGAATTATACAACTGCTTCGGACATGCATTAGGATCTACGCTGACAATGTTTTGGGGAATCCATTGCGGAACTGGACGGAAATTTACGTTTTCCAAAAGCTGGATTGTGCCAACTACAATGATTAAATTAAACGGCAGAGAAAATGCAGTGTTGCCAGTAACTTTAATGATTATATAAAATCTAGCCATGGGTTTAATTTTAATTTTTTAATTTCATGAAAAAACTGTTTTATTTATTTATTTCATCAACCGATGTAGACTAGTACAAATACATATACAAATTTGTTTTTCTTAAGAATATTAAAAAATATATTGTCAGCTATTATATTTTTACTTCCTACGAGTTATGATTCCGTATGGAGTTAAAATATTGTTTTAGTTTATGCCGAGACATTGAAAAGTCAATGGTTTCGCAGTATTGATTGTAAGACGCCATCATGCGATTTAATGGCCCAAATTTTGCATAATTTGTGCGATGATGGGTTACGGCAAATAAATTTCGATTTCTGAGTTGTCGAGTAGGTACATACAAATTTAATTTTGATAAAAGTTCTGCTGAGTTAATGCGCTGCGAAACGATATCGTTTACAAACGAAACCATTGCATATTCACGACGCTCTTTTAATGTTTGTATGTTTATAAGCATGCAGCGTGCTTCATATGATGGAAGAGGAAATGATGTCCAACCTAATTTACGAAGGGCATATAATAGAAATTGCTTTTGTACTGATTCTAATCTTTCTTCGTGCGTGATTGAAAATGGAGACCATACAATGCTGCAATATTCCAGTATTGACCTCACATAGGCAATATATAGTGTTTTAATTGTGTATGGGTCCTGAAAGTTATAGCAAAAGCGCTTGATAAAGCCTAGCATGTTATTTGCCCTGTGAATAATTGTATTGTAATGGTCTATGAAAGTTAGTTTCGTTTCAAACAGTTCCAATGAGTGTGCCCAGGTGTTAATGGCACACTGAACCAACCCCTTGCCGATAAATATCATTTGTCGGTAAAATTGCAAAAAATCATCCCATCTACTACAATAAACACAATCTTTGAAATTTTCTTAGTATAGTACCAGCACTATGAAATACTTTTTTTTAATATGCTGATATTCGTCGTACCTGGAAGTGAATAATTATGGTGAATTTAGTATTGTAGTCAAAGGGTTGGTCACAGTAGAGCACACCATGGTACACTCATTGGCACTGTTTGGCACCCATGGTACATAATGTTTATGATCTCTGCAATAGCTGGCATCACTGTCTCCTGTGCAGTGCGGATGTGTCAAAATTTGATTGTTAACACAAACAATTGTACCGGAGCAACGGAAGATGCCGACATCACGACGACGACCGGGTGGTTCGTTTCTCAATCACACTTTCGTCGCTGTTGTTGTTGCTGCCGCCTCTAACAGTTGCTTTTGCTCGGCGAGTTGTATGAACTGGCGGCGCCACCAACCCAACTGCTGCTACTGGACGGATCGTGCTGAATTGTCCCTTCCGATCGTTCCATGCCCCGGTTGTCAGCAGCAGCACCACCTCCGCCATCCACATCCTTATCGTCATCATCACCACCCAACACCACCAGCAGTATCTCTTCTTCTTCTTCTTATTCGCATGTCAAGCTTGTTGCTTAACGCATATTAGCTTATTGCGTGCTCTCAACTTAGTGTTCTAAATGCACTTCCACAGTTATTAATTGAGAGCTTTCGATGCCAATACCAATGCATGAATTTGTATATTGTGTGGTAAGCACAATGATACTCTATGCCCAGGGAAGTCGAGAAAATTTCCAACCCGAAAGATTCCCTCGACCGGACCGGGAATCGAACCCGCCGCCTCCGGCTTAGCAGTTTCTCACTGTCTTCTGATTCACAGTTGTCTTCTTGTAGTAATATTGTTGATTGTAAGCCAATCCAATCGCCATCGACCAGACTGATGCACGTTCCGTCCCATTCCCTCAAAGACAGACTGGTAATACCGGCGGAATGAATATTCATCTCTTTGCCGAAGATATTGTCATCTATACCAATCGCATCATCGTGAACGAATCATCCATGTGGACATGCTCATCGTCATCTTCACTATCGACTGGATCGACCATCTGGCTGGAGCAGATATTCGCATCTCCGTAGCACTTCTACGGATTGGTTTCGTACGGTTAGCAGGGGACGATTTTGGCAAAAATGCGACGAATTTATTTCTTGCGTCATTCATTCCGTCTCCAGTAGCTCCGGGATGGTGCTCCGAGTTTTAGGATTCTTGTCCAACAGCGAAAGCAACACGTACTTCAATCCTTCGCTGTGTTCATACCTCGCTACATACGGACTGATCAGTTCGGATTGCAGGATTTCCTCAACATCCACGAATGGATTCTCAAAGAACATCCACACTTACAGTGTCACACCGAGCCTACATTTCCAGTTCCAGGCCAGAGTAGCGGCTTTCTGCCAACACTTCCGGACTACAGCACTCGATAAAAAGTTGCTCTTCCTGTACGAACGTCGCCGATCCCAAGTCAATAAGCTTGATATGGAAATTGTGATCGATGATAACGTTCTCGTCTTTAATATCCCAGCAGCAGCAGCAGTCTGTCGAAAGATCCAAAAACCCAGCTTATCCGTCATAACGGGTCCTCGATCGATAAACTCGTACATATCCATCCCGGAACCGTGGATTTCCATCACAACCTGGAAGATCTAGTCGTTCTTGAACCAATCGAACATGTTGAAAATGTTCGGATGTTTCACGTGCGTCAAGAGGTACACTTTCGTCGGAATTTCCCGCTTCTCCTCGGTCTTAATCATAAACTGCGGCACAAGCGATAAAGATGAAGCTTCTCATTCAGTATGAACTTCGATATAACCAGCAACCTGGAAGTCCGAGCTCCGGTAGCTCAGCTTCACATACCCTTCCCGATATGCCTCACCGGCCTCACCGTACTAGTCACGATGTTGAACGTCAATCTCAGATTCTGATGCTTATCCTCATCCTCCAGGTTGTTGTACGTATGCAGTAGACCTTCCTCCCCCAGGGAAGTGTGTGATTCGAAATGGTGTACAGTGTGTCGATCACATTGCCATCGTAGTGAATCGCTTCCGCGCGGTACTTCCTGTTTCTAATGATCTGGCGTTGACCGTTGTCTTCGACAGCTCGTACGGTTTGATATTAGGATTGGGCGATCTTTTTCATCCCGATTTCCGATTTTTCGGATCGATTCTTTATCCACTAAAAGATCGAAAAAATCGATCTCTTCTTTCTATCTTCAAAAAAAAATGGTGTTAAATTTTGTAATTGTATATACATCGAAAAAACGATTTACTCTCACCCCAGACTGCGTGGTAAATTTAACGAACATAACGTCAACATCAGCATCGCTCCCTACAATGACTGATTGCTCCTTACCGTCACGACCGAGGTCACGACAACATTTAATTGAATATTATAAAGGAAGAATATCTTGGGGGTACCAACGTAAACTCGCGTACAGTGCAAAAGTGAGGATAACAATAACATACCAACATTTTTGGTTAGAGCAAAAATAAGGATAGCAAACTAAGCACTTGAAAATGGGATTACGCAAGTGTGCGAGTTATGAACGTCAGAAAGGTCAATTAAAATAAAAACCATAAGATCGATCTACCAAAGATCGATTCTTTGGTACTGATTTAATCAGTGGATCGATTCTAGAGCCAAATATAAGATCGATCTTTCTCTGAAGATCGCCCAATCCTATTTGATATACCAAAACAAAACATTTGAACTGTCAAAATACCGGGTTGCCAAACATACAATTATTCACAAACCAAGTCATGTCGATGAGTGGCACTCTCGGCACAGCGCGGCACACTGAGAAAAATGTTGGCGCAGAATAAGTGTGTAGAGTGACCACCTAATTATATAAGTCACGAATGAATGTTCCTCAAATGTCTACTAGTTCTTGACAATTTTGATAATCTGTATGTCGTGCCTGTCCGAGGTTTACAGCCTCAGCCATTCGTCTCAATAAACAGCAAGCCGTTAATCGGCTGCTTCGGTCGCTCCACTTTCATTACCATCCATATCTTCCACTCGTTTATCCAGCTCTGCTTGCTGTGTCAGAATTTTCCCTCACATCTGTCGTAAAGCTAATTTACTTGTGTGAAGTGTTGCATTACTTGACGCAAATCTCAAGTTTATTTAATTTCAACTCGGGAGTCCCGCAAGGCGGTAACCTAGGACCGCTACTATTTTCGATCTTTTTAAACGATGTCGCCTTGCTGATACCATTAGGATGCCGCGTTTTCTATGCAGACGATACGAAAATCTACAAAATTATTAAAAGCCTCTCGGACTGCTGGGATCTCCAGAATATGTTAGGTATTTTTGCTGACTGGTGCTCAAGAAATTTGATGAGTCTAAGCATAGAAAAATGTAACATTATTTCCTATCACCGAAAAATCGAACCAATCATGTTTGACTATGTTCTCTACGGACGCTGTCTTGCTCGTGTAGAGCACATAAAGGATCTCGGCGTTACCTTGGACTGCAGACTCACTTTCAGAATCCACTACAATGACATCATCTCCAGAGCTAATCGACAATTGGGCTTTATTTTCAAAATTGCCGACGAGTTTCGTGACCCGCTATGTCTCAGGTCACTTTACTGCTCGCTTGTGCGATCCTTATTGGAGTCAAGTTCAGTTGTTTGGTGCCCTTTCCATGCTAGCTGGATCACTAGAATTGAATCCGTTCAACGCAAGTTTGTGAGATATGCTCTTCGTTTCCTCAACTGGCGTGACCCAACGAACTTGCCACCGTACGAGGAGCGTTGCCGTCTCCTGGGAATCGAGCCATTAGAGGTGAGACGGACGGTCGCTCAAGCTATGTTCGCTGGAAAGCTGCTTACAGGTGACATTGACTGCCCAACACTGCTGTCACAACTAAATATGTATGCCCCTGAGAGGTCTCTTCGTCAACGCGACTTTCTGTTTTTGGAACCACGGAGCCGGAATTATACACAACACGAGCCAATTCGAGCAATCAGCCGGCAATTCAACAACTTTTTTTATATGTTCGACTTCAATGTATCAGCTGACGTGTTTCGTCATCGGCTACTTGGCCTTTTCCGTACCGTTGACCGTAACTATTTAGTTTAAGTTTTATTCATTTAGACAGTAATTGTCAGTTGAATTTTTCAATAAACAATAAACAATAAACAATTATTATTCCACACCAACTTTATCTTTATCACTGTGAAATAGACAATGTCGCTTTCTAACATACATATTATATAGAAAAAAAATTTCTGCCGAAATTCCATAATTCTTTAAATCTTCAGCATTTCACTAAAATACAAGAGCATAAAAATATTACAAAGTCCCTTTTTCTGAAGGCATACCGTTTGAAATCAGCAAACTCTGTCAGATGATTTAGTTAGTTTGAGTGGGTGTGTTGTCATTCGTAAGAAACTGACGAGCCAAGTCATTGTTTACGTTTCGAGTTAGACCCTTCTGACATGATTCCCCTGAATTGCTTGCTCAGCAATGTTTACAACATTTCAGGGGAAACATGTTGGAAAGCACGGTTTATGCACTGAACAATTACAATTATTTTAAACAATGCCCAACTAACATTTTCAGCTGAAAAAAGCTGCAGATACAGCTACAAACAGAAGCTAGCAAACAAGTTTTGGAGAGCGTTTCCTCAACTTTTTCACAACCATTATTCAATTTGTCAAAAACAACCAATAAACGCTAATGTCACTTTTATACACATGCTAATCAACTTTCAACTTGTAGCTGTTAAACAAATCTAATAAAGTGAATATGTTACTCATTTGATGGCTTCTACACAACCAACCACTCTTGCTGAATAACATAAACATCAAAAGTGTTTTTTCAACAACTAAACAACCTGTTCTCAGCTAATAAACGGCGTTATCGCTACTTTGGAAGCATTTTTACAGTCAACTAGGTTTATTTTTAGACTTGCAGTTTTACAGCTTTTACTCTGCTCCTTTACAAAGCTGAAGAAAAGCGATTCATGTGCACTATTATAAAACCTTTACTCAGAGATTTTGTTGTAGAAGGGCATATTGATTGTTTTACATCAGTTCAAAGTGTTGGCATGTCAAGGTTGCCAATGCGATCGTCTCGAGTTCGATTCCAGGTTCCGGTGCAGGGTAAATAATTTGGTGGTGTGCTTGTAACTAATTTCAATTAATTTGATTAACAGCAAAATAAACTCAATAAATTCCTCCATCAAAAAAATAGCGTAAACAATATTTAACCCGGCTTCAATAGAAAGCTGTGTAGTGATTATTGGATAACCGGGAAAAGGTCGAATAAGCGCCTTTCAAGTCCACACACAACTAAACAGCAGGATAACAGCTGTATAGAAGCGTAAATGGATATGCAATAAGAGCTTGTAACAACCGTCCAAAACAGCCATAAGTAGCTGACTAAGTTCGCCAGATTTGCTTGTATAGAGGTTGAGTAAAGGTTTCCTGTATAACGTTTGAATACAGCTTGAGGCTGTATAAATGAAATGAGTAAAGCGTTTACATTGTGAAAATTGTTAGTTGGGTGGTGCTCGAATTGGGACAATTAAAAATTTATTTTCTCTGGCGATAATAGATTAAGACCCGATTTCCAATTACGTCTACTCGAGCTCTTAACTTCAAATTAGAACTGGCTTGAGCAATAACTTAGTTATTGCTCAAGCCAGTTCTAATTTGAAGTTAAGAGCTCGAGTAGACGTAATTGGAAATCGGGGAGTTAAGTCTGAAATTCCCAATTCTTGACATGAAATCTTATGATCCTAAGCGAGAAATATGTACCTATTTCAATTATTAGACTTTCGCAAGAACCAATTCCCTTACCAGCAAATCGTTGAGCTCCTTGATCAGCACGCGGTAGAAGTTTTTGTAGACGAAGGCAATTATGATCCTCGGTCCAACGTGGAGTGCTATCGAAATGCGCCACAGATACCGCTGTGGGCTGACGCCCGTGATGGCACTGATCGAAGGGATAACGTTGTACACCTAAAACAGAAAAAAAAAACACGCACCCACATGTCCACGTTTGAGCACATTTAGTACAAATTTCGGCAGTTTTGTGTAATCTCACCCGACAATGGGTTTCGTGGATTTCCTCTGGCTGGAAGACGTACGCCGACACGAAGCACACAAACAGCGTTCCCAGTGGAAGGATCAACGTAAAGACACAGATATAGCGAAAACTGACAATCAGGTGCACGGCGAGCTGCAGCAAAAGGAAGACGATGACGAAGAAGAAGAACAAAATTAGAATACAATAGATTTCAACGTGATGTGACGTCAATCGCCTTCTTAAAGGTAGGTAAATAATTTATTGATAAAGCAACCACTTCTCACCTTATCCGACTGGCCTTTGTCGCCTCCTGGTTCCTCCAAAGAGTACTGTTCCGTCGATGAAGGGGGAGCCGAAGGTGATGGCTGCGGCGGGGGATCAGTATTGGCCACTTTGATCAACATGGGTGTCCCATCCGAATCGGCACCACCACCACCATTGGCATCTATCATGCTGACGGATTCCATTTTCTCGCTGAAAAAAAAAATACACACATGAAAACATACTTAAAATATTGTTAACACTTCAAAGGTCAAAGCCAAAAGTGACAATCGATAATCAATTTTATAGCAGCAGATGTGAATTTCTAATAACTCATCAGGGTGCCAATAAAACGCTTTAGCAACCGCCCGCCGGTCACCGTTGCCATGCTGTCTCGTCAAAGGACAATGCTGCTGAAAAGGTACGTATAGGTTATGTGTGTAGGTAGACATATTTATCCTATGTATCATACAGACAAGTAGTGGTATTTGGAGCTGCGTTAGAATTATTTGGCTTTGCGGGGCGAAGAATGACAGTCGACAAAAAATTAGTGCTGCCGGACACTCCGTTAGGCATGGCGAAGCGAAGACGCGTTCCATTCCATCCGAGCTTCCGTAAAAGACCGGAGGGAAGCATTTAATTTAAATTAGAAATAGTATGAAACATATTATGACCAGGCTTGAAAATTATCATTACAGCTAAAATGCTACTTTTCAAAATTATGAAACTATGAGATATTATAATAACAGGGATGTAGTCGTAAGCGTGATTGTCTCTCATTTCAAAGGGCCTGGGTTCAATCGCAGTCGTCGCCGTCGTCGCCGTCGGGATTTTCTGAGGCATAAAATCTCTGATCACATCTGCCTTCGGAAGGGAAGCCATGGAGGTAGCTCTAAGACCAGAAGGTCCCGAAGAAACGTGCTCAACTTGGCTCGGCTCTGATACTATCATCGGTCCCAAACTAATCGATGCATCCCTCGAAACATAAGAAAATCCACGAACCCCCAATTTTATCTGTCAAACTTTCATTAGCGAATCAAAACAAAAATAGTGTAGTACTAGAAGTTTGACTAGAATGGGGTACGTTAATCGATTTGCTTGGGACCAATAGGCTAGTCAAGTAGTGAGTGAATTTAAAATCGTTAGTCGCCACCGGTTGGTTATAGTAAACTATACCGTATGTAATTTTAGCATGTCAATTTCGCTTTGAGAGCTTCACAATTAGCGATCTTATGATTCGTGAGCGTTCACTCAGAGTGAGCGCTCACGAGTCGTAAAATCGCTGATTGTGACACACTGAAAGCAATTTTGACAGATTTTATGTGTTATGCTTCATGACCTCTTCTTGTAACTTACAAGTACTAATTAGTATTATACTATATCATGATTTCATAATTCCGAAAAACATTTTTTATAGCAAGTGAGTGGAAGTAACCCTGATTTGAACTAAGGTATCGTACCAAACGCATAATTTACCTATTAACGCCGAAATCATGGTTTTTTTTATGTTTTCTGCTTGATAGGCCGAAGAAGTTCTCTACCCTATTATGATATTTTTAAATTAGTAAAACATGCTAAATAGAACACCAGGTGTAGGAGTGTTGCGGCATCTGCCAACATGTTTATTTGCTTATTATAACTATTTCATGAGACGTAGTCCTGCTAGGAACAGTTACGAAAATCTTATTGCAGGAACGAGAACTAGCGCCGGATTATTTCTAGTTTTGTTTATGCAATTTTACATTCAAATTTGTACGTTGTTTATTTATCATAGCCACTTCGACACCTCTCAAGACATTCGAGACTTGTTAGGGGATGAGATTTGAACTCGTTATTCCCACTCCCTAATGTAATTTTACAGAGGAATTCTGAAACTTTCAACTGTAGTAGCTCAAAATCCAAAGATAAGTGCTTCTTCATTTCAACATGACATTTTCATCCGGCCAAACATTGTAACACAAATGAGCACAAGACTGTGACATTTTATGCGGTGAACTACAAGATTTATAATCCAAAAATAAAGTGGGTACCTTCAACCTAAAAACACAAATCTAGCTGCGTGCGATCGCAGAATGAAAGCCCAAGAAATCGTCCGTAATAAATTTCGTAGATTCAACGCCGGTGCCTAGTATTTTCCATCCATAAGCATTTTTATATGTCAACTTCCTATCGTTTTAGATCACACATGCTGCACCACATAACTCAATACCACCAACACACCAATACAAATCGAAACACAACAAACGGAAGCCACCCTAGCCAGACACACGAATGAGTTTTCCACCACCCAGAAGCGAGCGAGTTTCGTACGCGCCTGGAAAAGGAACACGCGGAAAAGTGAGTTAATTGTCGATTTTCCCTCTTCTTACCTCTCACGTTTCTGTTGTCTCACACCTTTGCTCACTGTGGTGAGAAATCTCCTTCGCTCCTCGAGTGAGTGTTTATGTGAGTATGTATGTGTGAGCACTCCCGTCAAGCAGTGTGCGAAAATATACGACCGAGGAAAATTTCCTCCCGAGCCGCTCGGCACACTTTCACCACTACTCTCCCACTCCCACTCCCACTCTAGGGAAATACTATTGCGCGATTAGGGCACTCTGCTTTTCCAGTGAAGAAAACGGGTCACAATTCTTTCGACTTTTCTTGCACTCTGCCCGCTCGGAAAAATGCAATAAATTTCAGTTCAGCGAAACTCCTTGGCTTCCTCGATGGCTCTTGGATCACCGAAACTTGCTGAAAACTTGCCCGAGTGCTGTCACAGTCAAATAGCACGGCACGCACAGTCCAATAGCTGTTCACTATCTATGTGGAAATGGACACTGCAGGTATTTCCTGTGACACCAGCCTAATCCTGCTGTAATCACCGCCGATTATGTCGGAACTGAGAACAAACTGTAACGCATCCTGGAAGGACTTCCAAGATCGAATGGATCGAAGCGCACCTTTTCTGGTCCTGGATTTTCACTTAATGACAATTTACGCGAAATTTGCAATGAGATCGAATTTTCCACACACCATCCGATGCCGAAAGAAAGGAGAATGACGACGGTCGGCCGTCGTCCGTGCAAACGAGTGAGTCGATGAGCTCAGGGCTTGTGTGTGAAAATCGTCAACCTTGTCTCACTTGCCCTCTTCGTTCGGGGTTTTCCTTCTGGGGCCATTTACACACGGTCGATGAAAGCAGCTCAGTAATTGAGTCTAATTCAAATCAAAATTGCAAAATGTGCGGTTATTCAGTGAGTGGGTGAAATTTTCCTCACTTTTCCAGGAAAAACTGCACGGACGATGTGACCCACTCAAAATTAATTGAAATCGACTCAATTTAGCAGAAAGGGGATTTATTTACAAAGTGAGTTGAATTTTCCTCTGCACGGCCAAACAGAACAAGTCAGCGACTGAATTCAATTGACTCAGAGCATTTTCTTTCCATACGAAATTTACTCATATTTGGAAAAACCTACAGTTCTTCATTAGCTATGAGTAACTGCAGGTTTTTTTTTTCAAATATGAGTAAATTTCGTATAGAAAGAAAATGCTCTAAGTCAATTGAATTCAGCCGCTGAGTTGTTTTGATTGGCTGTGTGCAAATGAATGTGGAATTTGAGGAAAATCGAGAGAAGTTTAACTCAGTCTATTAGTATACTCCTAGACTAAGTAAAATTTCCGTCGGTTTTCTTCATATTGAAGCAGATTTTAGAGAAAAATCTCGGAAAATTCAACTCATTTTGTGAGTAAATCCACTTTTTGCAAAATTGTGCTTGAATATGAGGAAAATCGACCAACATTTCACTCCGTGTATACACTAATAGAGTGAGTGAAATATCTCTCGATTATATTCTAAAAAAAAATATTTTTTCCTTTAAAATCGAGGAAAATTTTACTCATTCACTAAGTAACCCCACTTTTTATAATTTTTGAGTCAAATTCGACTCACTTTTCAGCCTCCGGTGAATTGTGAGAAAAGCTTTTTCTCACGGGTGAGAAAACTACAAAGAAAAGATTGCTGCTGCCATCTGACGAAAACGCTACGAGAGGCTGTTGGAGAAAAAAACATATCTTCCATGTGAAGACACTAATCATTTATTTTCGCAACAACAATTACAACGAATGGATAACCTTCCGCTTTCGCATCGACTCCAGCCATTCCTGCAGCATCTGGTCACCGCTCTTCGGCTCCTGTCCCGGGTAGTAATGCTCCGGTGGCGTTCCTTCCTCCAGCCGAACAAAGTAGTGACAGTGTTTGTACTCGACCTCCCCAAATCGACCCCTTCCGTGCCGGCGGAATCCCTTGAAAACACGTCCCTTGCCGCAGAAAGATTCCGCCACCCACAGGTTCGAACGGAACTCCACATTATGCTTCTTCACTGCCAGTTCCACCGCTTCCAGGATCGATTCCTTTACGGCCGTCGCTCCTTGCTTGTCGATGAACGATAGCTGCTTGATCGCCTCGTCTACGGTCATACCTCGCACAAAACTTGCAATGTACCACATCTTCTTCGGGCTGTACTTGATGTTGGTCTTCTGGTGGCACACGAACGCTGGTCTGGGTTCCTCAGCCGGTGCCTGCGGAGGGTAGATGATTTTGTTGTTGTCGAGCCATCGCTTTGGACCGCTGCTGTGGCTGTTCCACTTCTTGGACAACGTGCTGCTAGTGTGAAATTGACTAATCGTCGTCGGTAGTGTGGTCGAAACCGGCAAGAGACGATTGGATCCACTGATGGCCAACCGGCCAATGCTGCGCACCAGTTGGGACATGAGTCCGGAGGATTTCACTCGGATTTATCGCGGAAAATCCAAATTTTATCGCCAGCAAGTGCAGCGATTATGTATTCGGTGTTACTCGTTTTACTTGTTTTTTTCTGCTTTTGACAGATGATTGTTTTGGTGTTGAACCGTGCGATGTTATTTCAATAATCCTATGCGAGGGGTGATGCAGCGCAGCACCTGGTGCTTACACAGCAAAAAAATATTGTAATATCGATCAACGTAATTCATTTTGTTTTTTTCCTTTATTTGAGAGATATTTAGCCATAGGCTAGTTCATCTCTTACAACGTAATTCAAGCTGATGTATGAAAAATAATGATGTAATAGCAAAAAGCAGATTCAATCGTACAACATACACTCAAAATAATCGACACGTTATAGTTACGTGAAAAATCACGTAAAGTATCTCTTTTTGCTTTGCCGTCAATTTTACATGATCCAAGTATAATATTACACAACCAGTGGAATGTGCGCAGCTGTTTAGATGAAATATTCAACAACTTTTTTTCTATGTATAGACCAATTAAGAGGTGGATCAGAAAGAAGACGTGTTAGTTTGTTGACGAAAATGAACTATGAGCATTTCGTATGGCAAGTTTTGCTATAAGAAATTCACATCAAAGACTGATCACTTGCGTTGGAAATAAATTTGGCAAGACATTTGTGATCAGCATACACCTTCCAAAAACGTCGAAATTACAGATTGTTTCATCGAAGTACACGAAACGAAAATCAATTATTTTATTCATGTGTTTCACTTATACATTTTTGCCAAACATCAGCCTTATACATTCCATAAGACAAACCATATAGGTCCTATAAGAATGCATAAAAGGTATGTGTGACCGCTTATACATTTCATTTGACACATGATCTTCATTAACTTTTTACAAGGCGTCTGCTTATTAGTTGACTTATACATTTTATGAATCATCAGCAATAGAAATTTGCCAAAAGGTATAAGGAGATTTCTATCCGTGTATATGGGATTTCATAAGGGCCCGCATAAATGCGAACCATTACTCGAACCATTACTTGACCTAACCTTGGACCTAACCGAAAATGGTTAAAAATTGTTTATAATACCAGCTTAACATTAACTGAAATGGTTATGGAACTTTACTTGAACGTTTGTGTGGTAGAGTTTTAACCTTATGTATGTATATTTTTGGAAGTGAACCTTACGAATAATGGGTTGTTAAGAACCATTCCAAATTCTTGTTTTCTCCATACATTTTTGGGAAAGGAATTATATTGGAACCATTTTATTTATGATTGGAGAACTTTACTGTTAATGGTTATGGTAGTCGGTAAGGTTCATAAATCGTTTTGTAACATCGATCAACTTTATGAAGAATATATCGCGAATTGGTTGCATGTAAATTACTGATTACCAAGTTGACTGATAGTACAAAACCATCAATAGACCTTACTGGAAACCATAATCATTACCGTTAAAGTTCTCAAACCATAAGTAAAAAGGTTCTAATATAGTCCTCTCTATGAAAATGTATGGAGAAACCAACTATTTTGAATGGTAATGGTTCTTAACAACCCATTATTTGTAAGGTTCACTTCCAAAGAAACATAATATACAATTTGCTGTTACTCATTAGCTATGAGTTCCTGCAGGTTTTTCTAAATATGAGTAAATTTCGTATGGTCAGAAAATGCTCTGAGTCAATTAATTATATGATTTGAGTTGTAGCTATACTGAAGATCCGAGAGATGTCGCCCCTTCAGTGGTAGGAAAATCATTTTTTCAGTATGGAGAATATCAGAAAATCCACGATTTGTGACTAAACATGCTTTCACAGAAGGAAACAAATAAACGAGTGTTTACCTTATCACCATAGTAATGTACTCGTGCAATTTTTGTGCATCTAAAACTGCTCATAAAGACGATAATGAATAAAAACTGAAAATTTTCATACATTTCCAAATGGTTTCCTACTATTCCCATACATTCTAAAGTGACTGGCCCTCTGGATGTGGATGATGTCAAAAACAACCAAACATGATTTATTGAATTCAGTCGCTGAGTGGTTTCCTCGGAATGTTTCGATATCCTTTATAGAAACAGCTGTTAGCGACGACGTCACGTTCACTTTTCGCATTATGGAATGTTGTGCTAACGTGAAGTCATCATTCAGCTATGTTTAAGTTCAGGCATAACATTTGATAACGGCACGAAAGCATTTGTAAACAAACTTTCTAAGGCGCTTTACACGCGAACCAAAGTAAGCCCACGCAAATCAACAATATCATCCGATAGGAGCAACTTTCCGAAAGTGGTATTGGTTCGCGTGGGCGTACTTTGGTTCGCGTGTAAAGGGCCTTAGAAAGTTTGTTTACAAATGCTTTTGTGCCGTTATCAAATTGTATGCCTGAGTTGATTTATTTATATACACATTTTTTGTGACGATAACCTACGCCCTACAGTAAAAGTATGGACGTATGTCAAAAGTTGTTCCAATGGAACCGTCAAAATGCACCGCTTTGCTCGATTGGAACAGCTTTTTTCAGTTTTGTGGTGAAAGTCGTCCATACTTTAACTAGAGGGCTTTATAACCTACTACACACTAAGATTTTGTTTTCATGTTCGGTAAATTTTACCGAAATCAGAACAGCTGAACGTTCGAACTTTGACCTTCATTTTAAAGTCCATTGATTTAAAAAAATAATTTCAAAACATGTTCAACCTTGTTTAAACGATCAAATCTTGTCATTTTAGTGTAGATTTAGTTTCAAAGTAACTGAAAAGCCATTGAATTAAATTGCATAAATGTTATGCATTGTTCAGACTGGAGAGTTATAACATGTTATAACGGTTGTCAAATAATTGCAACACAGAGACCACCATCAAGATAGTGCTATAACATGTTATAACCATAGAGGTAACTCTAATAGTACGTTCAGACTACAGAGTTATAACATAGAGGTAACTCTAATAGTACGTTCAGACTACAGAGTTATAACATGTTATAGCGCTATCTTGATGGTGCTTTCGGTGTTGCAATTATTTGACAACCGTTATAACATGTTATAACTCGCCAGTCTGGCCAGCGTTTAAGACAAGTAGGTCCCGAAGAAACGTGCTCAACTTTTTGACTCACCTCTGGTACTATCTTCGGTCCCAAGCTTGTCGAATCACCCCTCGAAACATAGGAAAAACCAATAACCCCTCATTTTATCTGTCAAACTTTCATAGCGAATCAAAACAAACATTGCGTAGTACTAGAATTTCGACTAGAATAGGGTATGTTAATCGTTTGCTTGGGACCAATAGGCTACTAAAGTGGTGAGCTCGGTGGTGAGCCAATTTAAAATCGTTAGTTTCGTATTGATTGTTGGTTATAACATGTTATAGCGCTATCTTGATGGTGGTTTCTGTGTTGAAATTATTTGACAACCTTTATAACATGTTATAACTCTCCAGTCTGGACAGCGTTTAAGACCAGAAGGTCCCGAAGAAACTAGCTCAATTTCTTGGCTCAGCTCTGGTACTATCTTCGGTCCCAAGCTAATCGGTGCACCCCTCGAATCATAGGAAAATCCACGAACCCCTCATTTTATCTGTCAAACTTTCATAGCGAATCAAAACAAACATTGTGTAGTACTAGAATTTTGACTAGAATTGGGTATGTAAATCGATTTGCTTGGGACCAATAGGCTAGTCAAGTAGTGAGCCAATCGATAGTTTCGTATTGATTGTTGGTTCAGCTGTTCAGATTTCGGTAAAAATTACCGAAGTTGGCGATAATTTCTAAGTGTGTAGTTGGTAAACTTTTCTTAAAGGCCCAAGCGCAATGACAGCGGAAGCGGAACGGCAGCGTCAGCGGAAACGCCCGATCTGAGTAAGCCTACTTGTCGGATTGAAAACTAGTTAGAACAAAATCGACTTCGGTTAGGCATCTTGATGTGACAACTGTCAAACTTTCCGTTTCCGTTCCGCTGCCGCCCATATTACGTTTAGGTCTTAAGGGCATCTTTAGCGGCGATCCAATTGGTTGGTTTGGTCTAAAATTTTGGAACAGACCCAGACCGAGCCCTTGCACTGGTGCTCTATATTTTGTTTTAGACTAGTTCTAAAATGTATTTTTTTTTTAAACCAGTATAATTCTCGATCTATTTTTAACTGAATTTGGATCAAGGCAAGCACTGTTCCAAACTAGTTTGACAGCTGTCGCACTCGAGATTTTGTTTTGTTTTGTTTCGTTGTTGAGGTTTTTTTCTGCAGCCGGCCCTGTCGTCGCAGCTGGGAAAGGATCACAAAGGAAACATCCGGACGCTTCTGTTCTGCAGGATTTTTCGGGCATGTTTGGAAACTCCCAGGGAAGTGGCCAGTTTCTGACTTGGTCCAAAACTCATTATGTGACACATCAAATCACATTAGATTTCAAAAGCAATATGTATCAGTGGTAGTCAAATATAATGCACAGAATCATGTTGACCCCTATCGGATATGTTCCGGCACCTCCAAGGAAAAAGCCAGTTTCTGATTTAATCCAAAACCCACCATGCTCCACATAGCAAATCCCATTAGAATTCAAAAGCAAGATCAATGGAAGTCAAATAATGTGCCCAGGACCACCTTTCTTACTTCCAGGCATCTTTCAGCAACCCCTAGGTAAGTGACTAGTTTCTGATATGGTCTAAGCACTGTGATTTGACACATACAATCTCACAGAAATTGAAAAACAAGATCAGTTTAAGTCAAATATAGTGTCCAGATCCACATTGGCCATATTCTGGTATGTTCCGGAATTGTCCAGTTTCTGACTAGGGTCAAAACCCAACATGCAACAACATACCAGACAAATTTAAATAAAAACAGGTTTTTATTATTATTTCACTGGGAAACACGAGGAGCAGGAGGACGAGCAGTTCAAGGCTTTTTGCGCGCACATCAATCCCGAAGACAGCCATCGGAGGTCAATTTCACGGTAATTGCCGGATAAAAACCGTGTACGAATGAGTACGAGATTAAAAAATGGCTGACCACGAAATCAGGGTGTGAGTTGGTTTTGACTCGGGTTTTGACGTTTGAAATAGAACGGCCAAAAATAGACCAAACGGTGCGTACGCACACAGTTTGATCTATTTTGGCTTGATCTTTTTAATTTTAGCTGGTTCAAATGTGACATAAATTTGGATCTAGATCAGACCACCGCTTAAGATGCCCTAAAGGATCAAAGAAGCGCTTCCAACACAAGCAAGCTGACTGTTCGGTTATACTGTTGTTATAACTCTCCAGTCTGGACAGCGTTTTATATAACAGTACGTTCAGACTACAGAGTTATCCAGCTTTCCATGCTCGGTAATGGCGGCCTGTTTGTATGAATAAATGTATCCTTCACTGTGCTTTTTGACACTATCTGGATGTTCGGGTTTTGACCCCTCCCTTTCCCTCTCCCAGGAACAGAAGAAAATGGAACAACATACGCCCTCCAGTTAGTGTCAAAAAGCACAGTGAAGGATACATTTATTCATACAAACAGGCCGCCATTACCGAGCATGGAAAGCTGGATAACATGTTATAGCGCTATCTTGATGGTGGTTTCTGTGTTGCAATTTTTTGACAACCGTTATAACATGTTATAACTCTCCAGTCTGGACAGCGTTTAAGGTCTGGGCCAAAGGGCTTATTGGTGTTAGTGAAATGTGCAAATGGTTAGTGGTGTTCGTATACACAAAAAATAATCATTGATAAAATTAAAAGAACCGTTGATAGAATTAAAAGTTTGCATTGGTTCTTTTTGGTAGAAAGTAGCTAACTTTCAAAATGAAAGTCAACCAACTGTCAAAACAAAAGTTTAGCATATTATTAATTTTAAAAGTTTAAACTTTCAAATCAAATTGTAGAACTGTCAAACTAAAAACCAAATACTTTTAGATTGATGTTGGAAAAGTGTTGCTTCAAAAGAAGGCTATTTCAACCCAATTAATATAAGTTTTCACCTCAAATACGAATAATTTTTAATTTAATTGCTTATATGTAAAAGGGAAATAACCAATATTTACATTTATTTATTTAGTATTTTGTAAATATTCATATTTCTATTTTTCATTCACATCAGGATGTTGATATCAGGGATGTTGTCTTTGGCGAATGGCTTTAGTGAAGGTTTTCTCCCAGACGCGGGGCTCCAACATGCAGGGGACTTGCTCGAACGAAAGTGCATCTTTTTTTCACAGCTGGTCGGTGATAAGCAGCAAAATCTAGTGCGACAAATCTTACCAGTGTCCTATAGAAAAGAACGGAATCTGTAATCCCTCCAGCGATACATTGTAAACGCTATTGATAGCCACCGAAAGCATCTTTGCAGTGTGCTCTAACGTTCCAATATGCTGGCGATCTGGAAAATAATCATCTTGTTTTCAAAACCACCCTCGAAATATCTAGACAGTACACAGCAAAAAAAGTTGTTGAATATTACATTGAAACTGCTGCAACCAGGTCAATTCATCGGTTGTGTAATATCACATTGTACGATGTACATCGATTTTGCGAACAAAATTACATCCATTGATGTAATATTGTATCTGCTTTTTTCTATTACATCATTATTTCATACATCAGCTTGAATAACGTTGATCGATATTACATTTTTTTTTGCTGTGTAGTTGCAATCTTACCTTCTGCGAAAACTTTACTCTTTCTCATTGCCTCCGCTACCGGAATCGGTTCCCGAAACTGCACGATGCACGATTGATTTTCTGCGGTTTGATTCTAGTGTCTCGTACTATATGCCCTATTGGATTTTTGGACCATGACAATGAGCTTTTCAAGAGGTGATTTTGACAGTTGTACAATTTTTATTTTAAAAGTATGAACTTTTAAAATTACATGTCGATAATGAAAGAAAAACTTTCAAACCAAAGAAAAACAATTCATTTTGAAAATATTCATAGTTGAAACTACCAAATTCAAGAAACTTTTAATTTGAAATGTTAAAATTTTTAAAGATACAATTTTTGTTTTTTGTGTGTATTATATTGCAATGTTTATCTTTTTACACGAAACAGCTGTTGGCAGTGACGTATTTCTATCTGTTCTCAGTATGTTGGCAGTGACGTATATCTATCTGTTCGCAGATGTTCAGCAATGTTTACAACATTTTTGCTTCTAACACCAGCAAGCTGCCTGTTGGCCTAGACCTTATATAAATGTCATTGCTTGCGACCAGGTGTTTCCCAAAAACATCGCTCAGAGCAAAATTTGATATTCTCTCTCGCATCGCTCGCATCAGATGCAAGAGAAACAGAAAAGCCCCGTTTTTTGACAGTTTGTTTACACTCGTTTCCATTCCGATCGCTTGCCGCAGTCGCGCATTTTTACGTGGATCGTCTCTGCATTAAAAAAAATACTCCATCCTAGCCTACGGCTCCTAATCTGTGCTGTGGCAGCTCCCAGCCTGGACCGAAAGAAGTAATCAACCAGTTTATTAGACTGCGGACTATAAACGGCAATCGATTCTGGTGATCATTATTCTCCCGCACTCGGTTCGTTCCATTTTTGACGGTGGCGGTGGGCTGGGTGCTAGTGCTAATAAAAAAAACGGTTGCTACTCGCAACAACAACAACACTCGCGCAGTTTGTTCGCTCGCCTCATCAGTAAAGAAAAGAGAACGTCGCCTGCAAGAAGCAAGAGTGTGTGCAAAAATTCATTCATCGCAGTCAGACCGTTCTTTGACCAGAAGCAGACCAGCAACAGCAATTACTGCCTCGTGCAAAGAATTATTTTTTTCGACGGTAAATTTCGCTCTTTTCGAAGTGTAAATTGTGCAAATTAATCAGTGCAGAGTAGAAGTTGCCATTTGGGCTGAGTCCAAAGTGAATTCACTTCAGCTGCGGCGGGTGTGGAAAGTTGCAAATTGCTTCGATGAAGCCTACTATTTAGCAGCAGCAGTAGCAGTGGTGGAACTACTCGTTGTTAATATACGGTTTTGTGTGATCCGTCAAGCGAAGCAAAGCAAAACACCGTACAAAATCAAAGTGCGCTAGCAGAGAGTAGTAATTGTAAAAAACTAAAAATAACGCAAGATGGAAATCGGCGATAGTTGAAGGCATTTCAAACAAAACAAGGAATTTGGAGCATTTGGATGTTGGTTTCTTTTGAGTGATAGAACGCAAGGTTTTTTTTTTCGTTGAGAGCTACAACAGCAGCAGATCTAAATCTGAAAACAGCATCAAGTGGGTGGTTCGAGCGACCTACACAGGTTTGGAGCTGAACAGCACTGACAGTAATGAAGTGATTTTCTGCATTACTTATTTGGCAAGACTTTGTTCCAAGCAGACAAAAGAAGCAGACGAAATTTGACATTGAAACTCCCGGAAGGCTATCGGAGAGAACAGAAGGAGGCGGAATTCTTGACCCGAATAGAGAGTACCGATGGTGTTACAGTATTCTCGGATTCACTGCAGTAATAAACGCCGATCGACACAATGGTAAGTGATTCATTAGCAAACCAAATCGACAACGATGACGACTCGGTCAAGGTACAACTGACCGTTACCAAAAAGGGCACCATCGCCGTCACCGTGTTGTCCTTGTGCCTTATTCGTCTCCGTTTATTGATTAGCACTAACATGCTTCTTTCGAACTCCTTGAGATTAATCACAGAAAAATGTTCTTGGGTGATTCCTCCTCATGAATAATTCAAGAGCTGGGTGGTAAGAGTGTGAGTGGAGGTATATTATCTGAGCCTCCACGCCTGTTTGCCTCTCTGTTTTGAAACTACAATGCAAGCAAAATGTGACACTCATCTGAAATTTTTGAGGCTCAAACAAAAAAATCGATTACAAACAACCTTTATTATGTTTATCGTCTCTCTTCGTCATACTGCCTGACGACCTCGAATCCATCCCCAGGGTTCCTCCGCCCCTCCTTACCGCGTTTGATAGATCCAGTATAAAGTGGATTAGGCGGAAGAGTGGGACAAAACAGAATAATACTAGGTACCGTAAGAAGTCGAGCCAAGCAACGAAGTGCAACGTAGTGTGGTATTCAACGATTGTGGAACTGGTGCTTGCCCCAATGGATGTGGTGAGGTATTGAGAAAAGAAACTGATAACGATAGGAGAATGTTATTTTTTAGCTGATTGATCCGTTCAGTGAGCAGTGGTAGCCAATTCGACACTGAAGTCATGTTGAGCGGTACAGGTGGGATGCAATTTTATAGAAAAACAAACTAACGTCATAACATTTTTGCGATGAAGATGCAGAGTTACTACTTCTAGCTCGGAGAGCTACTCTTTTTTCAAACTAGGAGAAATGTGCTTTAAACAAATCATTCCAAAGTTCAAGGTTCCCAAAAGTCATCAAAGTTTTTTTTTAACTTTATTTTTGAGATTTTTAGCCGTAGGCTAGTTCATCTCGGTGGGCAACAGAGTAGTTTTTTACAGTGTTTACTTCAACCGAAAATTGGTTCCTGACTCGATCGTACATTTACACAACATATTTAAGGCACAACATTAAATTCTGAATAAGACAGAGCTCAACACCGGGGGAACCGAGAGGGCCCCCACCAGGTAGAGATGTCCCAACAGCCGAAAGGAATTAAAAAAGACTAAACTTTAAAATACAATGCAGCATCCTTTAAAAAGCGCATAATTGCTGCCAGTGTGGAGGGATCATCACCCAGCATGTCGCTTATGCTATTTGGAAGCACGTGGAATTCCCGCAGGTTCTGATACTGAGGGCATACGCATGGAATGTGTTCGATTGAGGCTGGAGTTCTACAACCGACGCAAGTCCTGTGGAACGGTGTTCCACCGAAATTGTGCGAGATCTTGGTGTGACCGGTCCTCAAACGCGACGCTATCTTCTGACCCGCTGGTTCAACTATTCTGTCCATTTCCTCTTCGTCCCTATGATCCGTCTGATGAAGAGGGAGCGGTTTTGGGCCCACTCTGTGTACCAAGCTTCTCGTACTTTGCTCACGATCCAGCGCTTGACATCGTGTGTAACGGTACTTCGTTGGTATAGCGAGAGGCAGATGGTCCTGCCCCAGCCAGAAAGTCTGCTTCAGAGTTGATTGGTAACCCAAAAATTAAGTTCAGGAAAATTGCAAATACTTTAAAGGAGTTCCGAGGAATTATGGGATATTCCGAAGTGCATTTTAAGGATATTCTGAAAACTTGGTGGGTCTTCAAAGATATTTTCATGGAATATTGTGCTTAAAGATCTTTAGGGAATATTCTGCTGGCATCTCCCATGTTATATCCGTAACCAAGGCCAACAAGTAAAACAAGCTGTTGTTAAGAGCTACTATTTATTACGTCTAACTTGGTTGGTGGTCGGATAAAGAATCAATCTCTAACTCTAGACAGTCAGGCAAGGCCTACTACATCTAGGGCTACTACATCCCAGAAATCTTGTTCATTCGGTTTTTATCTACCCAACTTATTCTTGAAATTTCTTTCGTGAAAAAACGTGCTCAACTTTTTTGGCTCATCTCTGGAACTACCTTTGGTCCCAAGCTAATCGATGCACCCAGATGCAGAAAAATCCACGAACCCCTCATTTTATCTGTCAAATTTTCATAGCGAATCAAAACAAACATAGTGTAGCACAAGAATTTTAACTAGAATGGGGTACGTTAATCGATTTGCTTGGGACCAATAGGCTAGTCAAGTAGTGAGTAAATTTAAAATCGTTAGTTTCGAATTGATTGTTGGCAAAACGGCCTCACATGAAGCGAAAAAAAGTTGTTTTTGCAAAACAATGCACTATGGGCAAAAATGGGTCCAAAATTACCCAAAATTCAATATCTCAACAGCACGCTGAATTTCGGCCATGAAAAACAACTTTTCCGAAGGGAAATCGTCCGGGGAATCGATTACAGGTGATCCCATAGACCGGAGAGCCTTGAAGGTATGTTTTTTGGACCATTTAACCCCATTTTCCCCTACTTTTTGGAGGAAATGTTTTTTCACAGCTCTGTTTTTCGTAAAACATAAGCAATGGTTTTAGAATACTATGTCTTTAAACAACAGTTCATGCGATATTAGGGAAATACGGGGTACACACAACTATGTTAGTCACAATGACTAACATAGTTAGAATTGCTGAAAATTTGATCGGCATCAGGCAGTGAATAGTTAATATATTGATTGTACTTGCTTGTAGAGGCAAGGTGGAAGACTCCTGATTCATATCCAGCCACAGGTCCAGGACGACTATGCTGAACGCTGGCGGGAATCGGCACGACTGGGCTGGAGTAACCAGGAGCTTCCAAAGAGCGGTCTATTGTGCGTCCCGATGATGAATTAGGATTGTTCGAACAGTAAAGCGGATGTTGTGAATGAGCAGTATCAGAAGTGCTTCTCAATTGGAAACAGCCGGCAGGTGCTTGAAGCGTTGCACTGGAACACGGAAACTGATCAGACAAATGACTGTAACTAATGTATGCATACTTGCCTGAAGACGATGCTTGGGAGACCCCACCACCGAACTCGACCGCAGGGCCAGAACGACTCTGATGGCAGGAAATAGAACGACTTTGAAGGCGGGAAACAGCTAGCGCGACTGGATCGAGTGGTTCGAGGTCTTCCATAATGCGACAGGCATTGCGTTCTGGTCTACAGCGCTCCGATTCACAACGCAAAATCCAATTCTGAATCAGCAGACTGGGTTTAGTCCGGAAATGGGAGTTGAGAACTCGGAAGGTCCCGTAATAGGAGAGATCTTGATGGTAGGCGTGTTCAAACGAGGCAACCACATGTTTTTGAACCGTCTTCAAATTCACGGAACAAAAATCCTTTCGGCCATGTATCCGATCTAAGAGCAGCTTCGCGTAGTTTGGGATCCATTCCGACTTTGTACGAGATGAAGCTCATACGGCTGATGTCGGATCCTTTTTTGACTAGCGGCACAACCTTAATCGGATCTTCGCACTGTACACAACATTTCACCAGCTTCTCGATTGATTCCGATTTCACGCTAGGATGAATACGAGAAAGGTACAGCCAAAACAGCTCGGAGGGTTCAGGGACAGTAAGGACCTCGGTAAAGGAATTTTGGCCTGTTACTGCTTTAGAACCACCAACAAGTGGTTTGCCTGTGAGCGAGCCTTCATCGCGGCGCCGTTTTAATGGTGGTTGACGCATGAAATCAGAGTTTGTCGGAGTTGTCAATGCGATTCGTTTTGATAGCTGAGCGATCTGCTGTTCTTGCTTAGCCATTTCCTTCCTAAGCTCAGCGTGTGCGATTTCCTGTCTCTCGGTGATAGAATTAATCACACTGCCAAACGACGAGACGGCAGTTTTGAATCGAGCACATTTCATCAGCTTCGCGCACTCGTTACACATCCAAAACAGGTTCGGGCTAGTGTGGACAATGTTCAGAAAAGCCTTATTCAGTTTTGTACCGCCACACTTTAGGTGAATCCGAGGGGGACGACTCTATCTATGATGCGGAAACGATTTTGTTTTAGTGTGGTTAGCTGCGCGCACGCTGAATAGATAGAAAGAAGATTTATGACGATTGTGAAGATTTCCTGCAAAAAGATGCTGCACGATGCAAGTAGATGCGAGAAATGAAAGAAGATTTTTATTAGATTGGTTTGCTAGTGTGAGATTTTTCGAGTATCCATAATTGAGATTTAGATGTGACGCCCCCCTCGGGTGAATCATCCTGTCGCAAAAAGCCATGCAGGAGACGGATTCTTCATCGCCTTTAACTGGCTTAGCGCATTGGTCACAGGCGGAAGTCATGCTGACTCAGTTTCGAAAAGTGATTTAGAAACAGCGGTGGAGATGCTCTAATACGCAAAGAGGAATTTTATTCTCGAGATCGCCCAATGCTAGTCGTGTACAATATGTCCGATTGGATAATTTTTTCACTGTTTTCACAACACAAAATATGCTCTATTAGCCGATTATCGTAACGAACTACACTTTCCGCTAACAACCAGTACAATATTACAAGTATACCGAACGGAAAAAAACGAATAACGATAGCCCGTGTGATAAAAAAAAATGACAAATTTAGCAGCGCAAAATCACGACGATGTGAATAACAACAACTCTATATATCTACTTCTTTTAAACTTTGCTAACTATTATCTAAGAATAATTAATTCCTAAACAAAAAGGTGAGAATTTAACGAAAAATAGTGAAATAGTGAGATTCTTAACCTATGTTTCCTTTAACTTCCCTTACATAAAATTAATATATGATCCTAAACATAAACATATAAATAGGTTTCTACGGCTGAACGAATGCTTATAACTACAAGCAAATTCTGCTGTGTTGTTGCCGTTGGTAGGTAAGACTTCGTACATAAAGCCAAGAATTTAGGCCAAAACTAAATGTAAACCTACAAATTTCCTAAACTACGAGAATTGTTGGATGACTATATCAATTTATATTGGTTAAACGGCGAGAATCACAAAAAGTTAGCCTTATATGATACTTATCCCACAGACAAACAGACATAACACATTGAATATTTCTCCTTGTAAAACATTACCGACATCTGTTGAGTACACTGTGGTGGGTAGTACGCTGAACAGATGGCGGTAGTGTGTAAACGTCAAACGCAAGGGAATTGACTATGCGCGCCACAGGTGGCGGTAGTACCAACTACTATACTTTTAAATTGACCGTTAAATGCTTGTTCGATTAACAACTTGAGAGTGTTATGTCTGTTTGTCTGTGCTTATCCTAACTTAGTCTAACTTAACTGAATATACACAGGAATTTTATAACTCTTGTTCGCTGAAATGCACCAAGTAAAGTTCGAAGTTGATGGAATTTTGATTTATCCCCACTCTGACAAACAGGGCCAATTACAGGACTACTAGCGGTTAAAAACTGGTACACTTACCCCATCTGATCGCTGGTTGGCTATATCAAGCATAACTTTTCAAATGGACGTATGTAACATTGGATAGGAAATTAGAAACATTGGATAGCAATGTCTATATGAGATTATTAAATGCTATTTAAAAGTTAATGCTATTTTTTTAAATCTGTTTCTGCTATTAGTTGGATAAAGCGATAGCGTTTAAGAGAATTGTGAAAAATGTCGAGTTTATGTTCGATGTTTCACCATACAATTTTATTTTCAAACTTCTTCTGAATGTCTTGCAAAATTTATACCGCCAGCCCTGGAAGGACAATTCCACACCTATTCGGTAGCTGACCGCGGTGAACTCTCTCTTTCCACCTTTTTATCAGCCCTCTCCGCTCTCACCAGTTCGTTATCAATAAACAACAAAAGTCAACCAAAGCGCAGAATCATCCCCCCATCGCGAATTTTGATCATTCGTGTCCAACTTCTGCACCCATCTGGGAGCATTGTTCTTTTTATTCCATCGTCGTCTAACCAGAAAATTTTCATCCCCATTATCGTGACCCAATTTCACTAATTCCGAATTTCTTTCCAAGAGTTCCACCGTGGTAACCCGCCGAGGCGCTCAAAAATCCAAAATCACGACCCGCTCCCAACAGGCAGCCGAAGCAGCGGAAGCAACCGAACGGCGGAACAAATTCTACGGCCGCAGACCGAACCCTATCAGTTTGGCAGAGGTGAAAAAGAGGGGCAAGCTGAAAATGTCCTCCCAACAGGAGCTGGGTGGACCGGATGGAACGGCAATTGGGTCGGATCAGAACGTGGTGCAGTTGAAAGATATCTACAGCAATGCCATGTCGGCGATTGAACTGGTCCGTGGTCCGACGGGACTGGTTTACGACGAGAAGTTTGCGGAACATCGGTGTTTGTGGGATACCGGGTATCCAGAGTGTCCGGAGAGGTTCACCCGGGTGGTGGAACGCTGCCGACAGTTGGGATTGGTCGACAGGTGCAAGACGGTTGAGCCGAGGATGGCGACGGAGGAGGAAATTTTGACCAAGCATACGCCGGAACAGATCGAGATCTTGAAGAAGTCGAAAGGGAGCGAAGATGTGGATGGGCTGGAGAAGTTGAGTTCGTGTTACGATGCTATCTTCGTTCACCCAGTAAGTACGTGCGCTTATCATGTCTGAAGGCGAGAGCGTAATCTTTTGTCTAATTGATGAGCGTTATTAAAATTTAGCTGGCTCATTATCTTCCTTTTTTCACAGTCTTCGTACGATTGTTCTTTACTGGCGAGTGGGAGCACGATCGAGCTGGTGGATGCCATCGTGGCCGGGAAGGTACAGAATGGGATGGCAATTATCCGACCACCAGGCCATCATGCAATGAAGGCCGAATACAATGGGTATTGCTTTTTCAACAATGTCGCCATTGCGGCACAACACGCCCTGGACCAGCTGGGACTGAAGAAGATCCTGGTGGTGGACTGGGACATCCACCATGGGCAGGGAACGCAGCGGATGTTCTACGATGATCCGAGGTAAATTGGGAGATGGTTTTAGCTTGCAAGATTTTTACTTGAAACGTTCCAATTTATTGCAGAGTGCTGTACTTTTCGGTTCATCGGTACGAGTGTGGCAAGTTTTGGCCCAACTTGCGGGAGTCGGACTTTGACTACGTCGGCGAAGGTCCCGGACTAGGGTACAACTTCAATGTTCCGCTCAACAGGATCGGAATGACGAATGGAGACTACCTGGCCATCTGGCAGCAGATCCTGCTACCGGTGGCGATGGAGGTATGCATATATAACTTCTTTGGGATGATATATTGAGTTCAGGAATAGGCAGGACTTTCAGCAGTGTTACCAGATCTACCGGTAAATCGTGTTCAGTGTATCATCCAAACCATTTGTTGGGTTATCGTTCAGGTATTGGTATTTTTTAATAGGGTGGTGCGGTTGAGCCTGCATTAACGAGCATCCTGCCAATGGGTCGTATAGGACAATCCTTAAAACTTTGGAAGAATCTGTCATATCCCTTCAGCGCTAACCTCCCTTTTCACCCTTTTCAGTTCCAGCCCGAGTTGATCCTGGTGTCGGCCGGCTACGATGCAGCGTACGGTTGCCCAGAGGTTCGTATTACTACACCCGTTACTAATTATTTTTCGTTTCTCTGTTTTTTTCGTTTCCATGCTCTTATCTTTAGTTCAACCCAGAGTTGGTTATCGTTTCGGCCGGTTATGATTCTGCCCTAGGGGATGACAAGGTATAGATACTAAACGTGCGCAATTACGCCACGTCAATCATCAATCGTTTCCATCGTGCAAATCAGAACGTAACTGGTCCAATCGAAATTTCGCCATCTTAAAGTCTTCATTTTCAGCAAACATTGGACATATTCTTACCTAATTGTTATTCCTCTCGACAGGGTCAAATGGAGATAACCCCGGCCTTCTACCCACATCTGTTGACTCCGCTCATGTCCCTTGCCCAGGGGCGTGTCGCCGTCGTCCTAGAAGGCGGCTACTGCCTATCTTCTCTGGCCGAAGGAGGTGCCCTCACTCTCCGAAGTCTACTCGGAGATCCATGTCCTCTGCTCGTGGAAAAACTGCAACCGCCCTGTGAAAGCATCCAGCACACCATCCTCAACTGCATCCAAACGCACCGGCCCTACTGGAAGAACCTCCAACTGAACGATACCTACGGTCTCGAAGAGCTCAATAATGTCAACCCGCAGCCAAACTTCCACCAACTGATACAGTATTACGTCCAACCAGAACCGCAGTCCGAACCCATCCGGTACGAAACTCGCAACTGTTACCCAGTGCAAAGCACCGAAGAGAAAGCTCGCATCGAGGAGCACCTGTCCATGCTCCAGATTGCCACTCGTCTGACGTTCCCGGCAAGTCGAGTTTGCTACGTGTACGACGAACTACTCCTGGAACACCGGAACATCCACGAAGATCTCCACCCGGAACAACCGCAAAGGATTGCCAAAATCTACGCTCGTCACGAAGAGTACAAACTACTGACCAGGATGAAGCGTCTCAAACCCCGACATGCCACCACCGACGAGCTGTGTCTGGTTCACTCGCGACAACACGTCAACGTGATCCGTCGAACGGTCGAACGGGAAGAGATGAAGCAGGTGGCGGACCAGTTCAACTCCGTCTACTTCCATCCGAAAACGTTCGAATGTGCTACGATGGCTGCCGGATCGGTGCTACAGGTCGTGGACGAAGTCCTGAACGGGCAATCCAGGAGTGGAGTTTGCATCGTGCGACCCCCCGGTCATCATGCCGAGTCCGATATGCCGCATGGTTTCTGCATCTTCAACAATGTGGCGATTGCTGCACAGTACGCCATCCGGGACCACGGTTTGAAGCGGGTGCTGATTGTAGACTGGGACGTTCATCACGGAAATGGGACGCAGCACATTTTTGAGAACGATCCGAAAGTTTTGTATATGTCGGTGCATCGATACGACAATGGGACGTTCTTCCCGAAGAACAGGGATGCGAATTTTGACGTGGTGGGCGCTGGATCCGGCGAAGGGTTCAATGTGAATATCCCGTGGAACAAGAAGGGCATGGGAGACCAGGAATATTCGGCAGCTTTCCAGCAGATCATTCTACCCGTGGCGTACGAATTCGATCCGGAGTTGGTGTTGGTGTCGGCCGGTTTTGATGCGGCGATTGGAGATCCGTTGGGTGGTTGTAAGGTTACCCCGGAAGCATACGGTTTCTTTACGCATTGGTTGTCGTCGCTGGCCAACGGCCGGGTAATCGTTTGCCTGGAAGGTGGATACAATGTGAACTCGATCTCACACGCAATGGCTTTGTGTACCAAGTCCCTATTGGGTGATCCGCTGCCGATGTTACAACTGAGTTCCCGATACAACGGACCAAACATTGCGTGTGTGGAAAGCTTGAGGAACGTCCTGTCGGTGCATGAAAAGTTCTGGAAGTCGTTGCGGTTCAACAAAAAGCTTCCGGACTTCGGCAACAGTCCCGGTGCAGAACCAGATTTGAATGGTGCTTTCAGTAGTATGCAACTGTCGCCGTCGACGGCAGAGTCCTGCAGCAGTGGGTCAACAGGGTCGTCACCGGGTAAAGGAGACGCTCCATGTGATGGTGATGACCAACCCGGTCCCAGTCGGAGGAGAAAGACTGATAAACCGACAGCAGAAAGCAGCACTGGCGGGTCCGGTGCTGAGGAGAAACACGAAACACTTAGAGACTTTCTTGCTGCCAATTTGGAGGTAAGTGGAAAGGGGCAAGTTCCCTGAATTAAATATTCATCCAACGATCTTTGCAGGCCTTACAAAACGAGGAAATGTTTGCCGTCGTCCCTCTGCGCGATTGTCCACACCTGAAAGAACTCAATCCGGACAACTTGCCAGAAAGTAGGTTTCCCTTCTGCTTGCTATTTTCATTCTCACCCACCAACTAATATATCGTTCCTTAAACCCACCATCCACCATTAGCAATCAGTACAAAAGCCCCATGCACCGGTTGTGATTCCACTACGGAGAATTGGCTCTGCCTGCACTGCTTCCAGATCCACTGTGGCCGATACATCAACGAGCACGCGATGCTGCACAGTCTCGAGTCGGAACATCCGCTGGCGCTAAGCTTTAGCGATCTCTCGGTATGGTGCTACAAGTGCGAGTCCTACATCGACAATCCGGTGCTGTACCCTTTCAAGAACCTGGTCCATCGGGACAAGTTTGACGGCGAGGAGCTGGTTTGGTCCTATGGCAGCGATTTGTTCCTGGACGTGACGCTACCGGTCCAAGTCAAAAGCACCAAAACGAAGGAATGATATTTGTTTTTGTCCAAGATCTTGGTCCGGATATTCATGATCTACTTGGCCAACTATCTGGTGACTGCCTACTTCAAGTGAGCTCCCAAAGGTGCTCGATTTTCGGTTAAAACACAAACAAGTATTATTATTTTTACCTTTTTAACCAACTTACTTTCGGACGATTTTAACAACCAATAATGGGTCTCGATTAATCCAAGTTATAATTTTTAAAACAAAACTTAAGTAACAAAATGCGAGCATGTTCAAATTACTAGTTAAGCAAACTAAACTGACTAAATTATTAACTAGCACACATGGAACAAATACGATGCTAACCAAAGAAGTGATAGCAAACTAACCTTAATCACAGAAGCAAGGACGAACATAAAAGACAAACTAATATTTTCAGTGGAAATGAGTAACTATTGACCAACGAGTAGTGTTGTAAGAGATGAAGCTAAGTAGGAACAACATTTTTTTTCCTAAACTCACCCAGTGGGCACGCAAATCTCAACTGATTCCGATCCGATGAGTGCGTTGTTTAAATTTTAGAAATGATAGTTGGATAATCCAATAAAGATAGATTTTAGAAGCGTGCACATCTTCATGCAAAATTAGACAATAGTGAAGGACAACAAAATTCAGGAATGCTGTCAGAAAAAATGTTGATTAACACACTAGTTGAAACACAATAATATTAATTTATGTTAAAACATTTGTTAGTTTTCATTGCTGTAGTGTAATATCACAGGTAAAATCTTTTTATGTAAATTTCAGCCGAGATTGCAGCATTTTAGCCTTCAGGGGACTTATGGAGGTTAATTCTAATGAGCCAGTTTCACCTCCGCAGTGAATAGTGGATGGATTGGATGGATAGTGGTCGCTCACAAACTTTCTGACGAAATCGAGGTCGTCGACGATTTCGTGTATCTGGTGACCTCCGAGAGTAACACCAGCTGAGAAATCCAAAGTCGCATTATGGCAGTTCGCTGCACCACGAATTTGACTTTACAAAACGCTGATACGAGGCTTGGACTATGCTTGTGAAGGATCAATGCGCCATTGGTGTTCTGAATGGAAGGTGTTGCGCAGTGCAAGCTATTGACAAATCTATGTTTCGATCGACCACCGTGACGCTGCAATCGCAGCGGTGATAAGTCCGAAATAATGTGTCAAACTGAATACATTTTTGAAATTTCAACCAAAAACCTATTATTTTCTATTTATTCTAGCGAGTTTCTGTGGAAGTCAAAACATGATCCGAGCAAAAAAGTAGTACTCGTAATAATGGTATATAATGCTGAATTTTATCGTGCTTTGTTTCGAAAATATCTTCCAAATAAACAAGCATCATCCAAATCACCCGATTCATCCACCAACTAAATCTATTGCCACTTAAAAATTAATTTCAGTCGGTGTATTAATCAGCAGATTAAATCGTTTTTCGTCTGGTGCTACACCGAGCAATCGGCCTATTTAATAGTTTTTCGTCGATTGATTTAGTCGGCCAACTTTGTCTGTTGTTTAATCGGCAGATGATTTCAAACCTTAACATGTTTTCAGTAATTTATAAGTCTTGAAGTAGCTTTTTATTTAAGAACAATGCATTACAAAATAGTTTTATGCATTTTGTACAAGATTCATCCATGCTGACAAGAAATTTTCATGAAATTACATTGAAATTAAATAATTTTGCAAACAATCAATGAAATTTTCAAGGCCTGTCACAGACTTATCACCGTCGGTTAGTGCTTATTCCTGCCACCAGGCGCGCATGAGTTTAAGTTGGATTTCTCAATAGACCCTTTCGATGAAAGCCGACGTGACGCGGCCAAGAATGCGGCATTTTACTGTCATGTAAAATCATAGCATGAAGAAAAAGTTAAAAGCGTGCAAATGATTGATAAGTTCTAGTTAAATTTGTATTTCGTTAATTACTACTTACATAACTTATATTAGTTGATTCCTTTCCTAGCTTAAATACTACTTAACGTTTAAATTCCTAAGAACAGGTAAATTTGTTTTTTGACTAAATTGACATTTGATACAATCTAGCTAGGAGAAGCCTGTGACGCAGCGGCGTCGCGTAACCTCACTTTTTACCTGTGCACCAACTTTCAAAACCAGATTTATTGCCATAGTCTTACTCGAATCGGTTGAAAAATACACTTAATCTTCTAATTTACTCGAAATCTATCCATTTCAAGCAATATCTTGATAATTGTGTATGTTTTGAAAGTTGGTGCACAGGTAGATTGAGGTTAAGGCGACGCCACTGCTGTGACGAGAAACATCTTGCCTAAATAGATAAACTATACTTTTCCCACCGAAAACCCTATATGAAATTTATAACATGAATTTGCTTAACAGATACTAAAGTCAAAACTCGTTAAAATCAGAACCGTTAATGCGTTCCCGGTAGACTAGTTGAAAACCAAATTTTATGTTGATTTGTTGTTTTTTTACGATTGTTATTCAAACCTTATTATATAATAAACTGGCTGAGTGTGCCCGGCTTTGCTGGAGATTCAATGTTAGCTTGAGCTTATACGCCGATTAAAAAAAGCATGCTATATTGTACGTAGCCCCCTCTCCCCCCCCCCCCTCTTATCTAAGGGGATATCCCCTATGAGCATCTCCTTATTCCTCCACATGCCAAATTTGGTTCCAAATGCTTGATTAGTTCTCGAGCTATGCAGAAATTTCTGTTTCATTTGGGTCTCGAACCATCTATAAGGGTCAGACAGACAGACAGAAATTAATTTTTATATATATAGAAGATTAATGTCCGGGTTGGTGAAGCCCATCTGCAATAATCTTTCACAGAAGGTGAATTGCAGATGGAAGAGTGAACGTAGAGGAGTTACACCAGCTGCTTGTAGAACCACCCATTGCCCACACCGCAAAAATCGGACGACAACGGTGGGCTGGAATCGTCGTAAGAATGTCGGATGAAACTGGTTCTCGATAACGCATCGAGTGGAACGAGACGAAGAGGCGCGCAGCGGGCAAGGTGGATCGACCAGGTGGAAGGCGTTCTGCGGAGTGCAGCCATGGATAGAATGGAATGGAGACGACTTATGTGTTTGAAAGGACACCCAGTTAGGCTAATTAGCCTAACTGAAGGACAACGGTCGATCACACTTTCCATTCTACTAAAGATCTTCTTGCTGGCATCGCTCTTTGAGGGTAAACGGAAGTGTTTCTATGAGATAGGTACACTGAACGAATTTGACATATTCCTGTTATGTGGAAGTCTAATAAATTTGCGCTATAAGATAATCCATTGAAAATGATATGATTGAAAATGTGTCAGGTAAATTCTATATGAATATCTGATACATTTACAATGCTGATAATTTGGTAACTTTTATATGATCGTCATATGATAAATGAAAATCGATTAAATTATAATAATTAACTGAAATGGATTTGAAACCCATAAGCATAAGCTATACTTTTCACCACAATATAATATATGTGTCATAAATCAATCGAAGTAAAGTTTATGTGAAAATAACATGAAATTTACTTCTTCTTTTGACACATATATTTAATCGATTTCTAAAAATAAATTCGAAAAATAAACATCAGGCAGTGGGAGCTTTCACAGTTGTGCCTTTTTTTTATTGTAGCTGATTTGGGATTCGATCAAGATCTGTTGAGGTGTGATGCTTTCGGTGTCTGTGCTCGATTCCACTTGGCCACGGCTGACTTCAAGATTGAGCTCGTTCAAATAGCATGAAGTAAGAACAGCTCTCCCGACATGGAATGTAGTGCAACTTTATGCTCGTTTTGCTAGAGTGAAGACAAATAGCACTGACAAATTTATGTTCCGTTTCGGTGGTGTGGTTTGTTCAAATCTTTCTTAATGCACCTGTGTGCAATAAATCAACGACTAAATTATATGATTTGATAGAACTGGCTCATGAAGTTCGAGTACTACTTAGGGCTGGAATCTGAATTAGCCGTGTAGAAGGCTTACAATTAGAATCATAGCAAAGTAAATATTACAGTAGAATCATTTTTTTTCAATCTCAATACATTCTTTTCTGGAACCAATTATCATATGAATGAGTGTACGTTAACATCGTTGAAAATTGTTTCAATAATTTATAAAGAACAATCATGTAAGATGTATTTTATTGGGAGCGATATTCATCCCAGAAAAACATGCAAAAACAAATGCTTGCTGTTGGATTTCTTAAAAGGCATTTCTATATGACTATTTAATGATTGGGATAGATCTGTTTACAATCTTTAAACGTCAAAAATCAAAGCAAGCTATTACAATGGGATATACATGTTTTCCTTTACTGCAAAGTTAAATGACAGTCCAATAGTTTCTACATGTCTATTTACACGCGACATATCAACAAACGTCAAAAATCAGTAAAAGCAACTCCAATAAAATATACATGATTATCTTATAAGATATATATTTTAGTGAGCAATATTCATCATGAAAACAGGTATATTTTACTGAATTTTCTCATAGTGCAAACTTATATGATTTTCCATTAGTTTCTAGATGTCTGTTCCCACCCATGACATATCAACAGTTTTTCACCATGAAATATATCAGACAATATTCATATACTTCTTACCTTCGCTAACCACGTTCGAAGCAAAGTATTATCAAGTACTAAGTATGTGAAATTACGATAGAAATCATTCCATATCGCAGTCACAGTTTTTAAGTGATAATCCAATGGAGTCTATCAATCATCACATAGAATGAATAAATATGCTGACATTGCTATGTTATAAGATGGATCCAATAAACGGTACATGTCGATTTGTTTCAGTGATAGTCGCTATATTCATAGCCTGGCGGATACAATCTCAGGAACCTTGAGCGGAACCAATCGAGCAAATTACGACCAACAACAGAAAAGAGCACATCAGCTATTGTGAACAAAACTTTGGAAATTGTTTTCTCGTGATTCAAGGCTCGCCTACGCAAACTAACACCAACCGGTGGAAACTAACGATTTTAAATTTGATCACTACTTGACTAGCCTATTGGCCCCAAGTACATCTATAAGTGTACCCCATTATAGCTTAAATTCTAGTACTAGACTATGTTTGTTTTGAATCGCTATGAAAGTTTGACAGATAAAATAAGGGGTTCGTCAATTTTTCTATGTTTCGAGGGGTGCATCGATTAGCTTGGGACCGAAGATAGTACCAGAGCTGAGTCAAACAGTTGACCACGTTTCTACACGCAGAAAAAAACATAGTGCAATCAAACAAATTATGTTTCATGTTAAACAAAATTTTGAATAGAATATAGATCAATAAAATTGATAGATTAATTCAACAACAAAATTGAGTTGGGATAGTACTACTAATTTTATTGAATTGAACATTGGCTTTTATTGATTTAAAAAAATGTTTGCTTGAATCAAATTGAAGCATTATTTAAAGTAATTGTCGTTTTTGTTGCATTTGAATGTTATTTTTATTGTTTTAATACCAAATTTATTTAAATTCCCAGGTCAGATTAGCTGTCATTATAAAAAATAAAACCACATTTTTCAATTATGGTTTCAATTAAGTTACTAACTAATACCCCGTACAGACTATGGCTTATATCATGTAATATAGAATGTCTTGCAATGAGCACTCATACATCTAGTTTTCACTGGAAATCCTATGTATGAGTGCTCATTGCAAGACAGCCTATATTACGTGATATAGGTTGTAATGTGAACGGGGTATAAGACACTGTTTGTTTATTAATTTATTTTGTGCGTGAATGGGTGGAAGAACGTTTTTCCCTTGTGCCTTTCTGTACACCTTAATAAAGATAAATCAATCAATCAATCAATTCTGTACAAGTGTACACCATGCTTATTGTTACCTCTATGCTAACACTATCTTTGGGTTGAGGAAAGATTGCTACTGCCGGCACATAACTGTTTCTTGTTGTGTTTGTCGCTAGAAAAAAAAGCTTCTTTTATCGATCTGTGTGCTGAAAATACAAGGAGAAAGTCGATGAAGAGAATCTGTCAATGTTACTTAGGACCTAATGCAATGATCAGCTTGAATTGTTTCGCTTAGAGCAACCGTAACGGTACGCTGCTAAATTTATTTTAGCAGCCCTCATCATAGCGCAGCTACCGTATCGAGGGTTGCCATACGAGTAACTAAAATAGCAGTTGGCTTCTCGGTGAGATGCGCGTTACCAAATTAAGCAGCGCGATAGCAGCGCTGCAGAAAGGTTGCTATTCGTAGAAATGTAAAAATGTTAACTACCGGTACGGACTACGGCTAGTAAATTGATAACCGCGATAGCAGCGACCGGTGTAGGGAAGAGTGACTAAACTAAAATGAGAGCGCTGTGCGCTGTTAAAATAGTCGCGCAAATAACAACGACCGTTACGGTTGCTCTTAGCTATAGAAATGCAAGTAGGCCCGTTTGAACGCTCACTGTCGAATTTCATATGACAGATGGAAAGTTATCGAATAACCCTGCTACCCGGGCGTGATTATTTCTGACCGAGTAGAAGTTGAATTTTGGGCGACCGTGGCTGAGTTCTGTTTGAAAACCGATCGATCGGAACCACCGGGATTTCGGAACATTGAAAATAACTGTCGAAATCTCGCACATCACGAGAAAAGGGCCTATCATTGTTGATTGTTGATTTTCTTCATCGATTTTCTCTTTCGCGAATAATCCGACTGCAAATGAATTTCCCATTGAGTTTGTTGTTTCAGGCGCAAGCTAACATCATCTTCTGTCGAACTGTGCTGCGAGCTTAAAGAGAAAATTGTTTATGTTGCCGTGGAAAGAATAGGCCCTTTTCAAATGTTACGCGAGAAATGTCACGTTTCCACGAGTTGAATTTAAATCGGCAATTGGGACACAATCCAACACAGAAACAAAATCCATTGGCAAAATTACTATATTGATGGTTTAAATTAAATACTCGCACCAATAGATTTGTGCAGAAACGAAATTCATTTAATTTTACTTATTTTTCTATCAAAACTACTATGTCGTTTGAGTAAGCATAGTAGTTTTGACAGAGTGATATTAAATTTGTTTATATTTATAGTCAGCTATACTGAAATCATGGTAGATTTAACGGCATTAAGCACAGTTATACCATAGAGGTAACTCTAAGACTAGAAGGTCTCGAAATAACGTGCTCAACTTTTTGGCTCAGCTCTGGTACTCTCTTCGGTCCCAAGCTAATCGATTCACCCCTCGAAACATAGGAAAATCCACTAACCCCTCATTTTATCTGTCAAACTTTCATAGCGAATCAAAACAAACATTGTGTAGTACTAGAATTTCGACTAGAATGGAGTACGTTAATCGTTTGCTTGGGACCAATAGGCTAGTCAAGTAGTGAACCAATTTAAAATCGATAGTTTCGTATTGATTGTTGGTTATACTGAAAATAAGTGTTTTCTGCAAAATAGTATTCCTAACTATGGTCTTTGTTTCAGTGAAGAAGTATTTAAGTAAATTTTCTTGATTACTTTTTCGAAGGGACGTATCAGCTTTTGTAAACAACGCATTTGATCCTCGATTTGGAGTAACTGGCCCACGTATGTTAACACTACCATCAGATAGGGGAAATTTCCTCTACCTGATAGTGGTGCTTGTATGCGTGAGAGTAGTATCAGTTACGCCAAACCGACGATAAAATGCGTTGTCTACAAAAGCTGATACGTCCCTTTGAAAAAGTAATCGAGATTTGCGGGATCGTTATCACTCAGGCGAGGTTGATCCACAAAGGAGTGCTTGCAACATCGAGGCGATGGGTCTCGCTTCCAGCAGCTAGTGATCACGACAGGAACGCAAAGTTCGGGGTGCAAACTCGTGAACATGAACCGCTGCCTTCCTACTGCTGCTTCTGCTGCTACCTGCTTATTTGCCGTCCGAAACGAAAATGAGTTGAGACACGACAGCAGCGCTGTTTTATAACTTTTCAGATTTAAGTAGAACGATGTGTAACCAAGTGGTACTCTCGGTGGTACTCGATTATGACGACTGGGTTTGGGGAGAACGCGAGAAAGAACGTTTCAGTGCTAACATTTGAAAACGGCACAAAAGCCATTTGTAAACAAATGGTTTGTGGGTCCTTTACTCACTACTTGAAGTACACCCACGCGACACAACAGCAACATCGGGTAGGGGAAATTTTCCCCTTCCTGACGATGCTGTTGGTTTGCGTGGGCGTTCTTCGGGTAGCGAGTAAAGGGCCCACAAACCATTTGTTTACAAATGGCTTTTGTGCCGTTTTCAAATGTTAGCACTGGTTTATTTCATGAACGTTCAATTTCATGTGTTAAAATCATCACTTTTTATTTGTACATATTTCAACGTTTTTTTTATGGAAAATTGGAAAAGCATTTATTGTAGCAGATTTTGAGAGTTATTTCCTATCGATTGATGTATTTGGATTTTAATTTCATCTATAAATGACAGAGTTATAAGCGGTTAAAACCTTACACCTTTTCGTGACGGTCGCAGTTTTAGATTTTCGATTTACCCCCAGTACCTTCCCTTAATATAGTCTACGTCAAAATGTATGAATTTAGATCTGTCAAAATGCGTTTTACAGCGACTTATGTATTTTCCTCTGATTTTCACTAACTCGCTCTCACATATCGCACAAATACAACCGGCCGTGGAAATTTCTATACACAGCAAAAAAAATGTAATATCGATCAACGTATTTCAAGCTGATGTATGAAATAATGATGTAATAGCAAAAAGCAGATACAATATTACATCAATGGATGCACTAGTAAAAATCCACACATAACGAATAGAAAATTTCTATAAAATATTAAGCATAATATTCATTTCCCGCATAAACAATAACCATAAGATGCGCCTAACCACCAATTCGGGATATCATCCCAATTTTATGTGGTATGGTCGCACCATCTAAGATATCGTCAGTATATGGTACACGTTTATTAGGGTTGGCCACACATAATTAGATATCATGGAACAAAACACATACAGATTATGTGTCATATAAACAGTATGTGTGATCACATATAGAGATGATAAGCCCCAATAAAAAATAACCATAAACGAACGATAACCCAAATCATTGAACTATTCCACAAATGGTTTGGATGATACCCAGAACACGTCGTTAAGCAAATTAACCATACAATTTTTATTAGGGTGTGCAAGTGAGATTTATGTGTCTGGCATATAGAAACTATATCATAAATCTAATTGCAAAAATCTATGTGTGGAACACATAGAAACAATCATTGACTTTTTCTCAGTGTGTAGTTCTGTTCGCAAAATCGATGTACATCGTACAATGTGATATTACACAACCGATGGTTGCAGCAGTTTCGATGTAATATTCAACAACTTCTTTTGCTGTTTAGAGATCTCCAAGCACAATTTCACGAACTCCGAAGTTCGAAGTTTATATATAAAAATACAGAAGAAGAACCAAAAAGGCATCGCGATATCACAGCTACTTAAATATGAACCCTGCGGTCTTGCCCACACTTGTGCATCTGAAGGACTCCGTATTTTTTTATAAATACATTACGTTGATCGATATTGCAATTTTTTCACTGTGTTTTGGATTTCGCTGAAGCACAATCGAACGTAATTTTAGACTGGTACCTTCTGTGCCGCTGTATATGAGATTATTATACATAATTCAAATCCAGTCACAGGGGTTCACGTAAACACATCTGTCAAAACTCACCGTCGAAGCCGAAACGCACTCGTAATTTAGTTGGTCGCACATGTGTATCGATTAGTAAAAACAAATTTATTCTTTTCGAAGCCGTAAACGAAACAAATCAGGTAACTTCCGTAGAATACCATGGAAATAACTAATCTCAAGCAACCACTTGCCTTCCTTCCCCAGCAGCAATGACCTGCGTCGGCAAGGAGCACTGCTACTTAATCTACCGAGGCAGCAACTTCCTCAAGCAGCGACTGCTCCTGTCGACCTTAAGCGGCAAACCGGTGGAAATCCGTGACATCCGCCTGCAGGACGAGGACAGCCCAGGTCTGAGAGAGTACGAAACCGACCTGCTCAAACTGCTGGACAAGGTCACTAACGGAACGCGGATCAAGGTAGATCGAACGGGTTGCTCATTTACCTATCAGCCGGGGCTGCTTCAAGGTGGATCCTTCCAGCACGATTGTTGCACCGAGAGAGGAATCGGTTACTACCTGGATGTGCTGTTGGCGCTGGGACCGTTCTGTAAACTTCCCCTGGAGGTCACTCTGACCGGAGTGACAAACAGTGCCGAGAGTCCTTCGGTCGATCACATCAAGGCGTCCGCCTTCGCAACATTGAAACGATTCCTGCTGGTCGATGAGGGGTTGGAGATGACCATCCGGAAGCGTGGAATAATGCCTGGTGGAGGTGGAGAGGTTCATTTCAAGTGTCCGGTGAGGAAAATGCTTAAGGCAATCCAGTGTACAAAACAGACGATGATAAAGCGAATCCGAGGAATGGCTTACTGCTGCAAGGTTTCTCCGGCTATGGCCAATCGGGCAGTGGAATCGGCCAAAGGAGTCATGTTGAACTTTTTGCCGGATGTATACATCAACACCGATCAGCACAAGGGAAAGAGGTCCGGCAAAAGTCCTGGTTATGGGATCAATCTGGTAGCAGAGACGACGGATGGGAGCAAGTTTTCGGCAGAGGCGATTTCCAAAACGCTGGAGGACGGTGGAAATCCCTCGATACCGGAAGATGTGGGGAAAGAAGCAGCTATGAAGCTACTGGATGAGATCTATCGAGGAGGATGCGTGGATTCGACTTTCCAGTGGTTGGTTGCGCTTTACATGGCTCTTGGACAAAAGGATGTATCAAAGTTCTTGATCGGACCGCTGTCACAGTATTCGATATACTTTTTGCAACATTTGAGGGAGTTTTTCGGAATCACTTTCAAGCTGGAAAACGCCTCTGCAGAAGACGACGAGGATGAGGTGGATGACGACGAGATGGCGGGGTCTAACAAGGTGATGATGACCTGCGTGGGAATTGGGTATAGTAATTACGCTAAGAAAGTGACATAAAGTTGGGAAATGTTTGAATTACATGTTTTAAGTAAAATCATGATAGAAACCGTTTGTATGTTGAGAAAATCGATTATATTTAATGAACTTCCGTTAGCATAGGTATTACGATGATTAATTATTTCAAACAGCAGATCGCTCACTTGTTGTTCTTCACGTTGACGGTATTGAACAGCTTATCCTTGGCGATTTGTGCCATTAAGCCGTGGATCAGCTCGATTGAAGCCCGGCTGCAGTCCCGAGTGGCCTTGGAGAGCTTATCCTCCGTGCGTTTCTCGTTCGGATCGGTTCCAGTGACCACAAACGGACCACGTCCCAGGCTTGCCTCGCTCAGTTCCAACTTTTCCGACAGATCCAGAATCTGACCGGTGGTGTAGTCGGCATTGCTTAGCAGCCCTGAGCTGCCCAACGTATTAACCCAGTATTTGTTCCACAAAGAATCCAACAGTTTGCGATCCAAAGCCGATTTAAAATAGGATACTTCCAGCTGATAGTACTGCTTGCAGTGTACACCAAAGTCTTCGATCTTGTTAAGTGGAATCGTCTGGTATTCGGACGGTTCTTCGTTCGGAGGTTTGTATCCTGAAAATTCATGATTAGCATACCATTCAAAATCAGAAACAGTGCATTCAATACTCACCCTTGGGATATGTCCGGAACGCTCCCAAACAAACCTTTCCGGCAGAAACGGTCCTAACCGGATCGACCACGATGGCCACGAATGGTTCCTGGTAGCTCTGATTCAACATCTGCGTATTGACATCGATTCCGGACAGCCAGCAGCCATAACCCGGATGGCTGTGATACCAACCGATGGCATTCTCACACCGGCCCACCTCCTTGCCCGATTCCATATAGGCCGTCATATACTCGTATGCTTGCGATTGGGCGTTGACCCGAGTTTCGGTGCCCTCCACCGGTAAAGCAAAGGCATCCATCACTACCATTGTATCCTCCTCTACCTTGCCCAGAAGTAGTCCCATCACTTCTAGAGCTCCACCCGAACGGGCGTGCATCACCATCTTCAGCAGAGCCAGCGCGGAAATTTTTATGTCCTTGAAAAAGTGCGGATCCTTGTCCCACGGACGGGCCGCCAGAATCCGCTGCTGCTGCTCGGCATCATAGCGGAAAATTTCGTCACACGTCGGCAGGGTTTCTATGTTGTTCTCCAGCTCCCAATTCTTGCGGGCCAAATCGGCATCGGCCATTCTCGGAACGAACGTTGGTTTAACGATGGAAAATAGTGAAATATTGGTAATTCCGAAGCGAAATTCCTGTTTCTTTTTCTACGATGCTTCCTGGATCGCGACTTGCGAAAATGTTGAAAGAGATGCAAGTTGATTTTGTCAAACTTTGTGCGGCAGGGATGCCAGTTTGTTTAATAGTAAACATTTTTACACGGCAAATGATATAAACCCAAATTTAAGTTCAGTATACTCATAAATCGCTAAAAGTGCAGTAAACAGGGCAGGGCACAGGCACAAGGATATCGATCAACGTAATTGGGTTCTTTAAGGGTATTAACATAGAGGTAACTCTAAGACTAGTAGGTCCCGAAGAAAATCATTATTATTTTTGGCTCACTCAGTACCAGAACAACGGTCCCAAGCAGTCCCAAGCTATTTCACTCACCCCTGCATGTTCTGCATGAATCCACACACCCCTGATGTTATCTGTCAAACTTTCATAGCGAATCAAAACAAACATAGTGTAGTAATAGAATTTCAACTAGAATAGGGTACGTTAATCGTTTGCTTAGGACCAATAGGCTACTAAAGTGGTGAGCCAATTTAAAATCGTTAGTTTCGTATTGATTGTTGATATTAAGGTAAATGCATATTCGTAATCTGCATTAAAAATGAAACCCAAATCCAAAATTTCATCAATTTTGGTACACTGGAACTATTTTAAATAAGTACGATTACATTTGTAAAAATCACCTTATTAGCGCCCCTCGGTGTCACTTTGTATGGGAGCGAGCTGTCAGTTTGTTAGTTTAGTGTCAAACAGTGAAGCTGTTATTTTGCTTTAAATCTTGATTTAAAAATCGAGATGAAAGTGTGTGGGTTCGAAAAAAATATCGCTGTGCTCAGGAAACGAAGCTCTTTCAGATGATGTATAAAAAACGATACATTTTTCAAAATTAAAGAACCCAATTCAAGCTGATGTATGAAATAATGATGTAATAGCAAAACGCAGATACAATATTACATCAATAGATTACTGCTTGATTAGCCTATTGGTCCCAAGCAAACGATTAACGTTTCCCATTCTACACGGATAGAAATCTCCTTATACCTTTTGGCAAATTTCTATTGCTGATTATTCATAAAATGTATAAGTCAAATAATAAGCAGACGCCTTGCAAAAAGTTAATGAAGATCATGTGTCAAATGAAATGTATAAGCGGTCACACAAACCTTTTATGCATTCTTATAGGACCTATGTGGTTTGTCTTATGGAATGTATAAGGCTGATGCTTTGGCAAAAATGTATAAGTGAAACACATGGATAAAATAATTGATTTTCGTTTCGTGTAGTCGAAATTCTAGTACTATACAATGTTTGTTTTGATTCGCTATGAAAGTTTGACAGATAAAATGAGGGGTTATTGGTTTTTCCTATGTTTCGAGGGGTGAATCGATTAGCTTGGGACCGAAGAGAGTACCAGAGCTGAGCCAAAAAGTTGAGCACGTTATTTCGGGACCTTCTAGTCTTATTCCAGCCAGCGCTCTGCATAGTCGTCTCGGCCCTGAGTGTAGAGGTCGGGGGTCTTCCAACCAGCTATTACTGGCAAGTATATTGACGATTCAGCTTCTCCTTTGCCTGATACCGCTTCAACTTCTAGCTGTGTTTCCGGTTCTGCGATCTCCACACTAGCCACATCATGTCCATGCATCCGTCCTGCCAACTACCAGCAGGTTTATGCCGTCACCTGCTCTTCCTCGGATCCGGGACACCCTAAAACAGGCACTGAGGAAGCTTCCGAACCTCCCGACCCAGTCGCGCTTGCTGCAGACATCCGCCATCGTCATCGTCCCGGTCCTGTGGTCGGTGATGGTATCGGGGGCTTCCGGCCTGCAACCTCAGGCGAGTATGTTAGTGATTCCGAACTTTCGGTACCTGATGTCCTTTCGATTTCTAGTGCCCGTGATTGCTCCTCGAATGGTCTCCGGATTTACTACCAAAACGTGCGTGGGCTGAGGACTAAAATCGACTCGTTTTTCCTGGCTGTTGCGGAAGCCGAATATGATTTGATTGTGCTGACGGAAACGTGGCTGGACGACCGAATTTACTCATCGCAACTTTTCGGGTCACTCTATTCCGTCTTTAGAACTGACCGGTCTGCCTTAAACAGTCAAAAATCGCGCGGTGGCGGAGTCCTGATTGCAGTATCTACTAGACTAGCCAGCTACGTAAGTACGTCACCCATTTCCAGTCAACTGGAACAGCTGTGGATTGTCGTCGAACTTCCACAAAGCAAGCTTAGTGTAGGCGCAATCTACCTGCCTCCCGACCGCAAAAACGACTGCACGATCATCCGTGAGCATGTGGAATCGTTAGGGTCAATTTCGTCACAATTAAGTCCCTGCTCTCCCGCTGTCGTATTTGGTGACTACAATCAAGCTGGTCTACAGTGGCGCTTTACAGACAGTGGCACACCATTAACTGATCCACTGCTTTCGCATATGACGGTTGCTTGCTGTGCTCTTTCGGACGGTTTTAACTTTTACGGGTTCACACAAGTGAATACTTTTCCGAACCGAAATGGACGTTTGCTAGATCTTGTCCTGGCAAATGATTCCGCACTACCGGGAACTTCTGTTTTCTTGCCATTTAGTTTACCTGCGCCGATTCTTTTTCCGCCGTCATCTGAGTGCTACTCTTTGGACTTTCGCCGGGCCGATTATGTTGCATTGAACAATGCGCTTGCGGAAATTGATTGGCAATTTATCGAAACTGCCGCTAGCGTGAATGATGCAGTGGATTTTTTCAGTGCAGCACTGGAAGATGCTATTTTCCGCATTGTCCCAGCTCGACGACCTCCGCTAAAGCCTGCATGGTCTAACCCACGCCTACGCGTGCTAAAACGTCAACGCTCTGCCGCCCTCCGAATGTATTGTAACCAACAATCAATACGAAACTAACGATTTTAAATTGGCTCACCACTTTAGTAGCCTATTGGTCCTAAGCAAACGATTAACGTACCCTATTCTAGTTGAAATTCTATTACTACACTATGTTTGTTTTGATTCGCTATGAAAGTTTGACAGATAACATCAGGGGTGTGTGGATTCATGCAGAACATGCAGGGGTGAGTGAAATAGCTTGGGACTGCTTGGGACCGTTGTTCTGGTACTGAGTGAGCCAAAAATAATAATGATTTTCTTCGGGACCTACTAGTCTTAGAGTTACCTCTATGTTGTAACTCTCGCTCGCCGTACTACACAGCAAAAAAAGTTGTTGAATATTACATCGAAACTGCTGCAACCAGGTCAATCCATCGGTTGTGTAATATCACATTGTACGATGTACATCGATTTTGCGAACAAAATTACATCCATTAATGTAATATTGTATCTGCTTTTTGCTATTACATCATTATTTCATACATCAGCTTGAATTAAGTTGATCGATATTACATTTTTTTTGCTGTGTACAAACGACTGTTCAATTTTGCGAGTCGTAGTTATCGAAATTACAATCGTTTTCTCTATAATCGACACGTGAGACGCACGGAAGCGAACCTTCGCACGAATCCGAAAAGTTTGTGGTCGTTTGTCAACTCAAAACGGAAGGAATCCGGATTGCCTTGTTCCATGTTTCTCGGGAATGACTCGGCTAATAGTGAAAGAGAAAAATGCGACTTGTTTGCTCGTCATTTCAAGCAAGTGTTCAACGATTTCTCCGCTTCGCCAATGTCGTGAACTGGTCGAGGTTTCAAGCCTCTTCCATTGTTCACTGTCAAAAGAGACGCCAGCCAAACTTTTCCGCGATCCACACTAGCGACTGTCCGCTTTAAAAATCGTTAACAGAATGGCGAGCTAGTCTGAACGGGCTCGATTGACTAGTTCACACATCGTGTCACACTCTTCCAACCCAAAGGCTTATTCTAATTCTTTATTTCATCTCCCTCACTTCGCATCTTATGCATTCGTCGTTTCGAAGCCGATCTTTGATGGCCACTACATAGGCACGGATCATATTCGTGTATTCGGAGCATTCCGAAGCTCAAGTTTAATCCAATCTCGGTGCGTATCTGTCAATAAACTATTCGTGTACGTCGACGCTCAGTGCTGCCAAATTCAATTAGCTGACTTCACACCAAATGAAGGTTAATTGATTTTTCTTTAATTACTACCATGTCACATATACTACAGCCAACACAAGTGCTGGATGCTGCTGTTGGGATGCCACGTGATGTGTTTAGTTTCGTTATTCCGCGCATTTCAGAAGACATGGTGATAGCCGCAACACGCAGACTGAAGCTATCGTTCGCCTCCGGACCTGACGGCAATCCGTCATCAGTTCTGAAACGTTGTGTAGCCAATCTCTGCCTTCCACTTGCGAGGCTATTCAATCTCTCGGCACAGCAATGTGAGTTCCCCTGCCGCTGGAAACTTTCTTATCTGTTCCCAGTGCACAAAAAAGGAGATAAACGGAATGTCCTAAATTATCGTGGAATCACCTCCCTGTGTGCCTGCTCAAAACTGTTCGAGATTATCATAAATGGTGCTCTGTTCGCACGCTGCAAAAATTATATCGATACAGAACAACACGGTTTCTACCCGAAGCGCTCCGTGTCCACGAACCTGGTGCAGTTCACTTCTAACTGTCTGCGATGCATGGATTCAGGATGGCAAGTCGATACTGCGTATATAGATCTAAAAGCTGCATTTGACACGGTGGACCATAATATCTTGCTGGCCAAGCTGGAGATACTTGGCATCTCGTCAACTGCTGTGGACTGGTTCAGATCTTACTTGGTGAATCGCTATGTACATGTCAAGATTGGCGCGTCGGAATCGGATGTTTTCTCAAACAACTCGGGAGTCCCGCAAGGCAGTAACCTAGGACCGCTACTATTTTCGATCTTTTTAAACGATGCCGCCTTGCTGATACCATTAGGATGCCACGTTTTCTATGCAGACGATACGAAAATCTACAAAATTATTAAAAGCCTCTCGGACTGCTGGGATCTCCAGAATATGTTAGGTATTTTTGCTGACTGGTGCTCAAGAAATTTGATGAGTCTAAGCATAGAAAAATGTAACATTATTTCATATCACCGAAAAATTGAACCAATCATGTTTGACTATGTTCTCTACGGACGCTGTCTTGCTCGTGTAGAGCACATAAAGGATCTCGGAGTTACCTTGGACTGCAGACTCACTTTCAGAATCCACTACACTGACATCATCTCCAGAGCTAATCGACAATTGGGCTTTATTTTCAAAATTGCCGACGAGTTTCGTGACCCGCTATGTCTCAGGTCACTTATTTACTGCTCGCTTGTGCGATCCTTATTGGAGTCAAGTTCAGTTGTTTGGTGCCCTTTCCATGCTAGCTGGATCACTAGAATTGAATCCGTTCAACGCAAGTTTGTGAGATATGCTCTTCGTTTCCTCAACTGGCGTGACCCAACGAACTTGCCACCGTACGAGGAGCGTTGCCGTCTCCTGGGAATCGAGCCATTAGAGGTGAGACGGACGGTCGCTCAAGCTATGTTCGCTGGAAAGCTGCTTACAGGTGACATTGACTGCCCAACACTGCTGTCACAACTAAATATGTATGCCCCTGAGAGGTCTCTTCGTCAACGCGACTTTCTGTTTTTGGAACCACGGAGCCGGAATTATACACAACACGAGCCAATTCGAGCAATCAGCCGGCAATTCAACAACTTTTTTTATATGTTCAACTTCAATGTATCAGCTGACGTGTTTCGTCATCGGCTACTTGGCCTTTTCCGTACCGTTGACCGTAACTATTTAGTTTAAGTTTTATTCATTTAGACAGTATTTGTCAGTTGAATTTTTCAATAAACAATAAACAACAATCTTCGGTCCCAAGCTAATCGATGCACCCCTCGAGGCATAGGAAAATCCACGAACCTCTCATTTTATCTGTCAAACTTTCATAGCGAATCAAAAAAACATAGTGTAGTACTAGAATTTTGACTAGAATGGGGTACGTTAATCGATTTGCTTGGGACCAATAGGCTAGTCAAGTAGTGAACCAATTTAAAATCGTTAGTTTTCACAGGTTGCTAATACTTCTTCTTTGTGTATCATCTTTGCAAAGTTTTGAAATCTGCACTAGAATCTGCATAATTTTTTTCAAGATGGCTGGTTTTAGAGGCCTTTTGAGATAACCTCAATATTCCACCGACCTTCCTTAATAAAAAAGAAAATACCTTGCGAACCCAAATGATAGAAATGTTCCACAAACGGTTTAGATTAAACTTCCTAAGCACGACGTGAAGCAAAAAAACATAAATTTTCGATTGGGTCGCAGGTAAATAAACATTCATCAGTTACGTAATATTTGAACGACGCTTACTTGCTAAGCGTATCTTCCTACCCTACTAAAGTACCCTGGCAAAAAATGACGTGTTATTGTTTATGTAGTTGTGTGTCGAAAATGGCCAGATAAATTCTTTTGTGCGCTGCTCTTCTGCTGATGATGTCTCTTTTTGAGTTTTGACTGGCCACCACAGTTCGATTCGTCACTTCAGTCCGTTCGCATTTGGAAAGTATTTTGTTAGCTTTATTTTTCCGCGAGTCGCCGTCCAGTCCCGTGATATTAATATTCTCATTGTTTTACACATTTCAATTATGAGCTTATGACTCATTATTTGCTTTCGGGACTTCGTGTCATGTAATCGTCCCAAAGGAATTTGTTTCTGTCGCCCAGAATGCATTGATTGTGGCCAGTGAGGAATTGCGACTGTAGGATTAGGGAGAAGTCAGTGGAAGATAAAATTCGAGACGAGATACCCTACTGCTGAAACGGGAAGGCTGAATGGTTGACTGGCCATTTGGCAAAGAGTGAGCGGTGAAAATCTCCCATCGTATTTACACGTCTCTAGCTGCTGTTGCTGTTTTTGCTCGGCTGCAGCACAACAGAGAAGTAATAAGAGAGTGAAACCCATACCGTGGTGCTGCTACGTAGTCAGTGAAAATTATCGACAAAAATCCATCTGTAAATCGGTTTTCGAATGAGAAATTTAAGTGCAAGTGCCTTTGTGTAGTACCTGTTGAATGGTCGGAGAAGATTTTTGTGGTTAACTAGAGAGATTGGTGTGGTTTTCCTCTGGAAGGAACTGATCCAGTACGGTGAACCGTCCAGGAATAAGAAACCGACAGGGAAATCGTAGCGCAAGATGTGGAGTCCAACGCATATTCAAGTCACTGGTGAGTAATCTGATTAGTCATCGATGACCTTTGGTTTTGAAGATTGTATTTTGGAATAACACTTAAACAAAGCGATCCCAGCTACAGGTATGGGTTGTTTGTAGGCAAACAAAATTGTCATTATCAATTTTATAATATTGTTAATGACAACTTTGTTTGCTTACAAACATACCATACCTGTGACTGCGATCGATTTGTATAAACGTTATTCCAAAATACACTCTTCAAATGCAATATTTCCGTATTAAACTGCAAATACCATACTCACACACAAGATGACTCTTGGAAATGTGTAATAATTCAAACCTTCAAACATTGAAAATGTTCAAAATCCTTTGGGTTAAAAAAAATTTAAAAATATCAACAACTTGAAGGAGGCGAACCAGCCCACGACTGTAAGTCTCGATAATACAGAAAACTAAACTAACAACAACTTAGACTTCATCGGATATAAAGTAGCCCGTGGCCAAAAATCCCCTTACTAAAAATTAAAAAAAAACTTATACTTCAGAGATTCTATCTGGCTTCAAAAAAATCAAAACTATAACTTGTTTGTCCCATTCCTATTGTGTGTTTAGTCTAGAACCTTGAACATTTAATGTTCAAGGTTCTAGACCAAACATACAACATAAATCGAACCTACAACATTCTACGACTCTGGGTTTGTTTTTAGTCTACTCTAAGAAAAAGTTGTATAGATAGTTCATTATAAAAGAAGCATGACAAAGGCATGGATTGGTAATAATTTTGTAAATTAAAGAAAAATATCAAATTACTTATTATTGTTCAGAATAATTATCAATCACCTGTTTGTAGGCCACTTGGTGAATGGGCATCCGATATTCTAGTCCGTAATGGCACGGTATTACAAGCCAGGGGCGGCGGATTCAATTCCCGGTCCGGGCGAGGTCGGGTTGGAAATTTTCTCGCCTTTCCTGTGCATAGAATATCATTGTGCTTGCCTCACAATATACAAATTCAAACATTGGATGACATAGAAATTGTTGTAGGAATGCTTAAAAGTTGAGAGCCGGCAAAACACTCGCTACAGAGCCTAGAAGAACCTGTTCGTGAACCACAATTTGGCCAGTAGGTAAATGAAATCCGTTGTCCCCTGATCAACGGAGCAGCGAACATGGCAAGGAAAATGCATCGACGCGTGGTCGAACATAGCGTAGTACGAGAAAAGTATGTGGGTACTTATATCTACCTACTTAGTGATAAATGACTATCACGTGTAAAAATGTGCACTGGTTCCCTACTTTCCTATTCCAGGAAACCGTCGAATGATCGTGGCGATGATGTTAGGCACCTCCCCCGGCATGCCCCACTTAGGCATCGTTATGTTGTTGTTGCTAGTCTACTAGTGCGATCTTCGGCTACTACGGCATTAATGATGTCATGTTACAACATAAATAGCCTCACCAACTCGGTATGCTAGCCTCTATGTGTGAAGTTGTTTTTGTGTATGCATGTCGTCCACGCGCGGCAATTTGTGTTGCACTAGTTTCTGCCCGGCTATACTGGTTGCCCTCCCCGTTTTAACCGCTTGCAACCGTGCACCGTGATGATGAATTTGTCAAGAGTATTCTCAGCTGTATTATGCAGCGAGTTCAAATTAGACACCAGTAAATATGAGTAGTAAATAATTTATATCAAAATTTGGTTTAATTATTCTGGACCTTTTAGGCTAAGGCTTTTTTAATGCATTTCAAACATGCTACTCAGTTCCTAAGACATCACTTTAAGCTATTTCACCACCAAATAATAATCGAAAATGCTATTACCAACCTTACACTTGAATGCCCTTTTTGCCCCAACGGTTGACCGTTTAACCCCCACCTCCAAAAATGCAACAAGCGAACGAATGTTGTGCCAAATGAGTCCTTCTCCGATTTGGATGAAACTTTCAAACTTCCGGAATAAAATGATCTGTAACAAGTCTATCTTTATTGGAAGTCTAATTCGAAATCAATTTTCAGGTGGGAAACATTTAATTCAAAGGTTGCTCTGATTGGATTGCGTGTCCAATGATTGCTAGGATCCAACATTACCCCCTTAAGGTTTCATGATCCAACAGGGCTTGCACCGGGCCGGAAGTTGGATCATACGTCGACCTCTTTCCAGGATTGGTGGTTCTTCTACTTCAGTTGTCGTTGGTTCCTGTTCATCTTCGGATTCCTCATTATTGGTACCTTCATTTTCCGACAAGTCATCCGTCAGATTGGAAGCGTCTGGATTTTTCGGAAGTGGTTCGTCAAACTGGAGTGCTTCTTCATGTGGAGCTGTAGGATCCTTTTGAGGTATATCGTAAGTTGGAACCACCATCGAAGCCATCGAAGAATATCGAAAGCGATGTCGGATGAACTATTGGACTGATTTCTAGAACGCGAGTCTTCAGGTGGTTGATGTGCGACCGTATCAGACAATGTTGATCTTTAAGAAACACATGACGGTTCCTATCTTCTCGATTACGATTGCTGAAAACCTCTCTGGACTGCGCCGTGCTTTTGGTTGAAAGCGTCATTCTGTTTCTTCTTGTCTCTGGATGTGGTGCTACGGCAGAAAGTAATTAGTGTACCAGGTGTGTGACGGTGTATCCAACTTCCTCAGAAGCAGTCGTACTTTGGCCGCAGCTTCCAGGTTCTTGGCATCCGAATAAAATGCGTACCGGCTGTACCACTTCTCGAAGGTAATTCCATTTTCCGGGTCGAGCGAAAACTCACTGATATTCGTTACCAAGGCCTCAAGTGTTTTCTCTGGGTTACTAACGGTTTGAGCTTGTTCCGCTAGCTTCTGTAGGAGCGCCGCCATCTTGAAAATTGCTTCCTGAAGACCTGCCATCGCTTCTGGTTGTTATATCCTCGTCGCCAATTGTTAAGTCCGGTACTTTCGGAATAAAATGATCTTGAGTGGTTGTAACAAGTCTATCTTTATTGTGTGTGTGTATGTGTGTATTCCCTCTAACCCCACTGGCCGATATAGTTATTATGGAAGAACTATCTCTACAATGTCGCATATATGGTCATTGTAGACAGCTTTAGTCCGAGATTTAGAAGGTGACAGCTCTATTGCAGTCCAGCAATCCATTTCAGAATGTCTGTCACGCCCATTCCGAGGTTACTTTCACTTACAATAAGCCCCGCATGTATGTATTACCTCTATCAATTGGATATTAGTATTACACACACACTTCCAGTTTCAAAATGTTCTTTTGATCCTGACACGTATTTAGTTTGTTTTTTTTTTATTGTGAAAAGTATTTGGACTGGTCTTACCATGTTAATTTGATCCTGCACATCCATGGGTTCCGTAGTTTTGTTTTTCTCTACGCTTTGCATCTCATTTCGTGATTCACCTTTGTCGTAATACTTCCTTCAACAAACACAAATTGTCTTGCATTGCCATGGTCAACTGGGAAGAGGTTCGCGTCACCAAAACCAAAAATGGCGACGGACACATTACATGTTCCCGGGCTAATCCCGGACCGGGTTCAAACTCGCCCACGGTGACGAATATCTCAATAGAACAGAACTACACGTCGAAAATGTGGCATCTGAACTCGGAGCTCCCGGGAAGCAATTTTCGACACCGAACAATGAAACTGAAGCTGCGTCGTAGATTTTGGAGGTTAGATTCTAGGTCAAACGAGTCACTCAAGGCAAACACAGTCAAAACACGATATATCACTAAATGATAACTTTATGAACACTTGAAACTAAATATTTAATTCGCTGAAGAAAAATACGCAGCAAAAGAAAATCACGTCAGTTTTCAAGCGCGGCCTGCTGCGATCAATCTAACAAGTCTATCTTTATTGGAAGCCTAATTCGGAATCAATCGTCAGGTGACAAATATTTAATTCAAAGGTTGCTCTGGTTGGATGGCTGGGATCCAACAGACATGTCTTCAGTACATATTAGCGAATTTCGACAGTGAGCATGCATAAGGGCGAATACGCGATGATCGATTCTCTTCATCGATTTTCTCTTTGCATTGCTACAGCCAGGCATGGAAAATCATTTGCATTCATTTCGTGCATTCATTTACATTCATTCGCCTCTAACTTTTTTCTTCAATAGCATTCCGCAAAATGATGTATCGAGCTTTTTTAGATTTTGTTATTAGCTACAACTTTTGTTAACAAGTCAAATCCGTATCTCTTATGCATGACGAAGCAGAGCGAACAGAAGCCACTACTGTTTTTCGGTTAGTTTATTTTACATTCACTGAAAAACAGTAACAAGTTCTGCCCGCTCTAGTTCATGATGCAAAAAAGATACAGATTTGAGTTATGAGCTAAACTTGTAGCTAAAATAACAAAACCTACAAAAGCTCTATACATCATTTTGCGGAATGCTGTTGATGAAAAAAGTTAGAGGCAAATGAATGTAAATGAATGTATGAAATGAATGCAAATGATTTTCCATGCCTGGCTACAGCTAAGCGAAACAATTTTCTAGAATTTGTTCAATGCAGAGTAGTAACAGGTTGTATTTGGCTATCAAAAGCAACAGCAAACGCACCGAGAAACGTTAAATCTAGCGAGTTATTAACAAAAGAGAAAATCGACGAAGGGAATCGATCATCGCGTATAGGCCCTTATGCATGATCACTGTCGATTTGTTTTTTCTATTCAGTTCCAACCTGGATCGGTTTAAAGATTGGGTCGGGTTGTTGCCTGGCTCGGGTTGAGATTCGCACTAACAATAAGCTCGGGTACGCACTATAGTCGCTATATTAATAGTCTGGCGGATAGAACTTCGACCTATCAAAAAGCGGACCTAATTCAATATATTCCAACAATTGAAAAGGTACTATCAACTTTTATAAACAAAACGTTGATTACTCTTTCCTCGCCAATCGAACGCAAATTACCAGCATCATCAGATAGGGGAACTTTCCCCAACCTAAAGATGGTGTTAGTTTGTGTAGGCGAGCCTTGAGTCACGAGAAAACGGTTTCCGAAACTTTCTTGCAATAGCTGATGTGCTCTTTTC